ATATTTGATCTCAGGCTCTGTTAGGGCAGGCCCCTTTTCTGTTATGTAGTTGCTGCATGATGATGAAAGGCAGATAGCTACTTCTGCTACTTCTCTCTCTCAATATCGCCTGGCAGCCTGTCTCTGTGATGATGCCTTAGAGGCAGGGTATGTCTCTGAGTTAGCACTATATCCCCAGTGCCAGATAAACAGGAAGTACTTAGTGATTGAATTGAATGAACCTAAGACAAAAGTCTTCACAGTACGGTTCTGGGGTACAGCCTATTGCCTTAGCCTAGAGTCTAGCTCATCTCTAGCCTCGACTGACTACCTAGGATTATAGCGATATTGATAATTATCATTCACTGAGTGTGTAACAGGTGCCAGGCATTGGTCTAAGTGTTTTACATGTATCAACTCATCTAATCCTTAGAGAACTTTATCGGGTGGGTATAATTATTATCCCCATTTGTCCAGAGAGACAGAGGGACCTGTCCATATCACAAAGTGAGGAAGAGCCAAAGCCAGACCTCAGGATTCCTGACTCAGCTCTGCTCTCATATACACCAACCACCTTGTCTATGCATGCAACGTTTGGAAAAACCTTCATGCACCTTTGAGCCTTTCTTAATTCTGTCTTATGTCTCACTCCAAAGAGGACTTCTTTAAGAGTATTTGTGGGAGAGTGAGTTTTGGCAAGTCTTGTCTAGGAGTCATGAGGCAACAGGGAAAAATAGACAAACAATCTTAGGACATATTTTGCTGACCCAGTCCTCAAAAACAGCAGAACAAAACACTCCAAACTCAAGCTGGGGCCTCTGGCCAGCAGGGCTCGTAGTCAATTTGGACGGAATTCACTCAATGGATCCTTCCTTTTTCTTAAAATACTGGGGGCCTTTGGGGAGGAAATGTTTTCCAGTTTGTCTGGATTTTCTTTAAGGTAAAGCAAAAAATATTGAAAATTTTACAAGGTCCTAGATGTTTCCAAATGTAAAAAAGCTCTGGGCATATCTTATCTTGCTCCATCTCACTGTTGAAGGAGTCACCATGTCCCAGGACGTAAAACTCCTCTCACCATCTGGTCAGAAAAGGCTGGAGAATCACAGTTGGAAAAAATCAGAGAAATTATTAAGGAAACATTAAAGTCCTTTTATGAACTCTCTGTTCCAGGCTTCTGACCAGCGAAGGTAATACGGTAGTGGTGAGAGCACAGGCTTTTGAGACAGCAGATCAGGGCTGGAATCCTGGTTCTACCACTTAACTGGCTGTGTATCTTTGAGCAAGATACTCATCCTCTCTGAGCCTCTGTTTTGTCATCTGTAAAACTGGTTGTAGTACCTATCACATAGGGTCGTTTTGAGGACTGAATGAGATAATGCTAGTATAGTGCCCAGCATTATGTCTGATACCTAATTTGTGCTTTATTGATAGTAGCTGTTATTATTTGTACATGATGTCCTTTATGGTTGGAATGTTCCTCCCTCCTTGCCTGTCTGCCTAGGAAGCATCTATTCACCCTTCAATACCCATCATAAGGGTGTCCTTCTTAGTGTGGCATCTTTGACTGTGCTGTTTTCTCTCTAAGTGGTCCCTGGTTCTCTCAGCTCTCCCTCACCCCTCTCACCTGTGCCCTTCCAACAAAGCAGTGATCTTACTGTGTAGAAATCATTTGTTTACTTGCTTGTCTTCCCCAATGGGGCAGTGCCAGCCAAGAGGACAGGCTCAGGTCTGTGCCCCCAGGCCTAACAGTGCCTGCCCCACAAGTGGCTTAGGAAATGGCACCTGCAACCTTAGATTAGAAATACTAGGAGGTTGGGAAAAGGGGAGTCTTGCAGGGCTGGGGGCTGTACAACTCCAAGGAGTAGCAGTCATATTGTATTTTATCATTTTGTGAAAATAGAGTCCCAAGTTGTGCAACTTGGTGGCTCTAGGCTTCTGCATCAGACAGACTTGGTCTCAAATCTTAGCTCTGGCACGTTCTGGCTTCATTCTCTCAGGCCCGTGAATCTATGTGGGCCTCAGTGTCTTCACTTGAAAGTGAAGTGTTAAAATAGTGAATTCTCAGATTGAGATTAAATGAGAGCACATAGGTAATGCTCCTGATGGTGCCAGGCCAGCGGTAGTTGTTACTTGGCACTGGATTTTTAATGACAGGATTCACACCTTATTTTTATAAGGCAGGGGACGTAGGGGTATGAGAGGTGGTGCCTGTTTTAGGAGAGAGCTCTGTCTAGTGCGCAGAGCAAGGAGGACAGACAGCGAAGAGGAGGGAGCCAGGTATTCTCCATGCATTGTCTCACTTAATCCTTATAATTACTAATGAAGTCAACAATGCAGGTATTTTTATCCCTACTTCATAGATGAAGTCATTGAGAAAGACGACAGTGCTTGCCAAGGTCACATGGCAGAGCCAGGATTTGGACTTGGTCTGCTTGACTCAAAGCCAGTTCTCTTTCCTCTTCACCTCTGATGGTCAGTTATAAATTTCCTTCTAGCACAAAGTTCTCAGATTCTATGCCAAAAAATAGCCAATGATTGTCACGTTCTGACAGTCCTCTCTCTCAGCTGCCCAGTAAGGGAGTCCCTCTCTCTACTCACGAAATGATGACCAGCAGTGGGGAGAGGGGGTGGAGGGGGTGCTCAGCTTGTCTGACCTCTGACCTGCCTCCTCTTCTAAGTAGGTGGGGAGCACTGCGTTTCATTGGAATGAGCCTCATCCTCACAAAAGCTTCTTGATTTCACTCAGGACTGTCAGTAGTGTGATGTGCCATCTGAGTGACTCTACTTTGCCTGGTCATTTTAGCCCCAGTAGCACTTAATAGAGTCCAGTGTTTCACATGGAAAATACAAAAATCCCAGGACCAAGCTTCCATTGAGTATTATGTTCACAGGATGAAAGACTGGGAGAAGATACGTGGGGCCAGTCCTGTGCCTCAAGTCCCCATGACAGCCCCATCAAGGGATTTTCTGGTCTCTGCTTGCACATCTCCAGGGCTAGGAAGCTTTCTTCTTTCCAGCTCTGGCTAGAAGAGCTCTAGCAGGTAGAATTGAGCTCACTTGGCTGCATTTTGCCAAAGATTACAGGCCCAGGACGGTGAAGGGATTTGGCACATCAGTGGAAAACCCTGATCAGAGGCCTGGCACTTGGTAACCTGCTTCTGTTCTTGGCTTCATAGTTGAGTGGAAATAATCCTGAAGGTGAATTCAGACTGGGTTCTCCCCTGAAACTGGCCACTTCAATGACATTTAATTAAGTTTCATAAATACTAGCTAAGGGCCTACTATGTGTCAGGCATTATACTTACATGCAGTGTGGTCTCAGGCAACTAATTTCTCCTTTCTGTCTAACCTTAGTGTCCTCATCTGTGTGTGTGTGTGTGTGATATACATATATATATCCCCCTTGTGCTGCTTGTTGTGTGGATTAAATGAGGAAAAAGGAAACAAAGTGCTTTGTAAACTGTATAGTGGGGTGCACATTGAAAGGTTATTGCTAAAGCTGGCTATCCCATTTTTGTGGTCCACTCCACCTGGAGCATACTTCCACCTTAGTACCGTCTGCCATTTGGAATTTGTTTCCTGTCTCTCTCTCCCACCACACTCCCCAAGGGAGGAATGTGCAGGGTTAATCTTTGACTATCCAGAGCCCAGCCCAGGGGTTGGCATCTGGCAGGTGGTTAACAGAGTACATGAATATAAACACAACATGTGATGAAATTTGATTTTCAGACCTACGAAGATGCCAAGCAGATGGGCACTGGAAGACCAGAGGAGGGAAGGGCTCAGTGAGAGGGTGGTGGAGAGTGAGAAGGGTGTCTGCTGTGGACGGGCAGCATTTAGGTCACTGAAGAGGAGAGGGTGGAGCACTCCAAGCAGTGTGAGTGGCTTGGGCACAGGTCAGGAGATGGAAATCCATGTTATGTAGGGGACACTGAGGAAGTGGCAAGTAAGACAGCAACAAAAGATAACAAAATAATAACTATTATTAGTGTAATAAGTGTAGCACTTACTATAGTCCAGGCACTGTTCCAAAAAACTATAGATGTATTACCTCGTCAAACCCTTGCAGTACCTTATAAGGTGGGTACTGTTATCTCCACTTTCAAGACAAGGAAACAGAGGTTGAGTAACTTGCCCAAGGTCACACAGCCGTGAAGTGGCAAAGGTGGGATTTGATTCCAGGCAGTCTGACTCCAGAATCTGTGCTCGTCAAGTAGGTTGAAGCCTGTCTTGAAGAGCTAGGAACTTTGGACTTTTTCTTGTACTAAAGTTTGAGCAAGGTGGTTGGGGCTGGTTCAGTCTGGCTCTCTGGAGCCCATTGTGTGCCTTTCTTCCCAGATGATCAGTGATGTCACATTGGTAGCTTGAAATCGACTATGGTGAGAGTATTTATACCTTGGAAATTGGCCAAATACAAATTAGGGCTTTCCCTCAAGAGAGGGGGGCAGTGAGGATCAGATACATCTGACTGGGCATGCACTTCCTGCCCAGACGGCAGAGCCAGACAGCAGTACCGCAGAGCTTGTTTTGTTGTCCTGAGTCAGGCGGGGTCCTGGGTGCTCCACGGACCTCTGACCTCCACAGACCCACTTTTGTCCTTAGGGCCTCCTCGGTCCCTGTGGCCCACACTGGGGTGAGCATGTCTCCAGACTGTCTCCTCAGCGCTGCTTGGTGCCACACTGTCCTGAAGGTTCTGAAGGAGAGTGAGGTCATTGGGCTGTCTGGGCAGACAGAGCTGCCAGAGCCAGGACCCCATGTGGCCTGGAAACAAGCCTGGGCCCCTCCCTAGGGTGGGCCTGTTATCAAGGTTATTTTGCTCTACAGATGATCACGGGGCCTCATTTCCCTGCCAGCTGCCCCCATCAGCCCTGAGCCTTCTGGGACACGGGCAATTAGCTTGAAGACTGCAGTTCAGGAAAGGGATGGGCTGGCGCTCTGGCCATGTGAGCTAGGAAATTGGTCTAAGGCTGACCTAGCCCAAGCCCCGACTCACAGTAGCCTGTTTTAGGAGTAATTTGTGAAAGAAAGCTGCAACTTTGGGATGAACAAGGAGGCAGTTACACGAGTACTATGCTTTTGGCCACATAGCCATTTACAAAGCAGAGTGACCACATCCTGGCCCTCAGGGCCATGTTGGACATTGAGGTGTGGCCAAGGGACCATAGCCACCTCTGCATAGGGAGCTCTGGTCTGAAAGCAGAACAGAGTGTTACAAGGCCTTGCCCTTCATAAAACGGCAAAAAGTTGTAAGTGGCCCTAAGGGGGTGAGGTTATAGGGGCATTGCCTGAGGTGGTGGCCACCGCTGGTCTTCAAGAACGTAGGGGCCCTGTTTGGTAACAGCCCTCACAAAATGGCCACATCGAGGTGACTTAGGGTCCCTCTGCATGTCTGGGACTACATGCCTCGGGCAAACAGAAAGCTGACAAACTCAGGTGTGCCCAGAATTGCCATTCAGTTGGGGCAAAGCTCTCAGCTGTGAACGAGGCTAAAAAAATGGGAGTCCAGTTGAGATCACTGATCACCCTCGGCTTGCTCGGGGCAGTGTAGGGCTCATGAGCAGCAGCACATCCCTGCCTCCCAGTCCACTCCCTCCAGCTCAGCAGTCCCCTGGGACAGTGCACTGCTGTTTCTCTCAGTTATGCTCAGCAGGTGACTGCATTCACCTAAGTGAGCTGCGTGCTGAATATCACTGTCATTCCCCTTGTTGGTCTGCATGAAGGCTCGCCCTTTCTCAGTCACCTACCCCGCCTGGCTTCTGGGCCTCTGCTCAAGCTATTTCCTGTGCCAACTGTGCCCTCTTTAGCTAATTCTGTCACCATCCAACCTACCCTTAAAGGCTCAGCTCCACCATCCATTAAGTCCTTTCTGAGAATTAAGTTCTCTTTCCCCAAGTTTCCGTAGCACACTGTGTGAATCTCCACACTTTTTCCAGACTAAACTTATCTGTGGCTATTCCCATCCTCATGGCCTACCACGTACTCTTGGAAGGGTTTGTTAAAGTGTACTCTCATGGTGATCTCTGAATGACAGTCCATCATTATTACCTCTGGAAAGAGCAAACATTTATTGAGTTCCTGGGTATCAGGCTTAGCTAGGCATTTTCACATGCACTTCATTTAAGTTGTGTAACACTGGGAGTTGGGGTTGTTATCCGATGAAACAAATCAGAGAGGCCCAGTGACTTGTCCAAGGTTACACAGCAAGTGATGAAGCTAGAGCTCAAACCCAGGTTAGTCTGACTCCAAGGCCAGGTTTTTTTCCCCCTTATAAGCAGACACAAAGTAGTAACAACTGTTTATCATTTATATGGTAGTCTCACATTTTTTTCATTTGATCCTCACAACAGCCCTGTGAGGTAGGTAGGGTTATGTATTAATGTTATGCCCATTTCACAGATGAAGAAACGGAGGTGGCTCAGTGAGGTGAGTGACTTGCATAAAGTCATACAGCACATTAGTGGCTTCATAGGTCCTGTACTTTCTCTAAAGTCAAGCTGCTTGAGTTAAGAAGCACCGAAAAGATGGAGAAAGACAATTTTATGGAGAGGAAAGAAAGGGCAGTGGTAATTTACAAGATTTCTTCCTTAAACGATTTTGTTGTGGTCACAGCTTTGAGTACCATTGGCTTGGTGGCTGGGACAGCTGTCAGAGACTCTTGGGTCCCACTGTAGACAGAAAAGGCCTTTATTATCTAAGGGATGTGGCCTTGCCCACGGCCCAGTGTACAGGCTCCCTGCTTATAGGGCACAGCTAAGCGAAGCCCCATCTCCCATGGTTGCCTGTGTCACCAGGCTTTGCTGGCTTTGTCTGAGGGCTCCTGCCCAGTGGGGAAGACCCGGAGACTCCCAAGGCCGTACCCACTCTAGGGATGAATCATACTGTGCAGCTGTGAGACCTGCACTGCTCATCACCCCCCGGGAAGTAAGTGGGGGCTTGGCGTGTCTTGCCCTGGATCTCACCCCACGTAGGTCCATGGTCTGCTTATGACCAGAAACAGTACTCCAGGGAAAGGCTGCCTCCTTCAGAGCAGTGCCTTAGGGGCTGGACGCCTACTCCAAGGGCAGCGTTATGGTTCAAACCACTCCTGGCTCCTCGCTGCACCCTACTCTTTGAGGTCCTTGCCTGCTTCCTCTGGCAGCACCTCCTCGGGGGTGGCAAATCTTCATCCCCCAACAGAAGATGGTCACAGGACAGGTGGAGTTGTGGCTGTTGAAGAAGGTGGGTAAAATGGGAGGTGTAGCCATTACAAAATGGGGTTGGAAGACAGCCAACCTTGGTTCTGAAGACAGATCCCAAGGGGGAATCCTAATAATATTTTCAGCATGAGTGTGGTCTCTCAAGGTGACTATTTTGAAACAGAAAATACACATTGGGGTGAGAGGAACCAGAAAATGGGAATGGAAGGACAGATTTTGGCTCAATATAAGAAAGAACTTTCTAATAGCCAGCACTGGCCAACCACGGCAAGGGCTGCCTTGGGGATGATGAGCTTCCCGTCACTGGAGGTATGCAAGCAGGGATAGGTGATGACTTGGAGCTACTGGGGAGAGACATCCCCAAATGCCCTGGGGTATGCTGGGGTGGAGGAGGACTAAGTGACCATTGAGTTATTTTCCAACCCTGAGAATCCATAATGTTTAAAATGACTTGTTTCAATGATACCTTAAATTCTTGGGGAAAGGATTACAAAAGTCAGGTAATAGGACACAGGATGAAGTGCCTTTCATTGCACTGGCTCCAGATTTCCAAACCTTCACAGGCACAGCAGCCCATTTCTGAAGCCAGAAATCCCCAAATGCTTGCATTTGACCTAGTCAAGAGGGATAGCCCCATCTTCTGAACCCTGCCTGGACGTCTGCTCACTCCTCTAGGCCATACCACAACTCAAATCTCTCCCCCAGAGGAGGCCAGTAACACAGCTCTAGGACATACTGCATTTCTAAGCCAGTCCAACATGGCTGCCTTCGGGCAAACAAGTCCAAGGTCCTGGCCACATCCTCTGGACAGAAGAGCAGGCATGATGGGAATCTCTGGGTACTTTCTGTCCTGGGAAACTGAAGGGAGCATCTTGTTCTCGCTCTGTCCCCTCCCCCAGGGGATCTTATTACAGATGCTGAGTGAGGCACTGCCTAGTAGTACAGAGCGAGATGGAGCCCGTGACAAGACTGCTGCTCCTTTGTCCAGCCAGAGAGTCCTCCTGTGGCCTCCTTTAGGACACATCAGCAGACTCTTCACTTGTCATACAGACTGCCCATCTCTAGCTCAAAATGGCAAGAAAAACGGTGGCTCTGTTGAGAGGACACATGGATTCCTACAGGTGGACTGCATCATGGGGGGATTGAGTCCTGCTGCACGATTAATACAGATTAGTGTAGTGTTCTGCCTTACACCGCCGGTGAGATATGCTGACGTAGAGCTTCTTGGAAGCCCCTCTCCAATATGGTGGGGGTTCTTTTTACCTGTACCGTATTAATCGAATAATCTTATTGTTCATAAAATCCAGAGCGTGTGGGTGAGAAGAATCAATGCAGAATCCGTCACTCAGAGCGATTTTCAGCACCTCTTCCACGAAGACCTGGAAGCTGTTGATCTGCTTGTTTGCTGGTACCACCCAGAGTCTCTTGAGGTTCTGCTTGGTGTACTCCTCCTCTGGGAGGCCCTCCACATTGGCCACCCAGTCCAGAGTCAGGTGGTTGGGGTCCTGCAATTGGCTGGTGATGGAGGAGAGATTGCCATTGGAGCAGTAGAAAAGCTTGGAGCCGAGGAGCTTGAGGAAGAGGCAGGAGGTGCTGAAGATATTGGCGTTGAAGACCTCCATGCTGGAGGACGAGAGGCTGTAGATCTGGGGTGCCTCGCGCACGGTGAAGTGGACTGTCTGCACACGCTGGTTCAGCGTGATGTTGAGCATGGCGTTCTTCTCAGCCTTGGAGAGCTCCACCTCCTTTTCCTGCAGTGCCTCAATCAGGGGCTGCACCTGGTAGAAGTCGGCCTCCCTGCGGAGCAGGCCCATCTCCTGGAAGTCCTCGGGCAAGTCCAGGTGGGAGGTCCGCAGGAAGTTGAGGATGTAGCGAAACACTTTGCCGTCACGGTCAATGAAGCAGTTGCCCTGGCTGTCCCTCTTGGTGGGCATCTTCCCGCTGAACATGGCCCCCAGCATGGAGTCGGGGAAGCTAGTCAGGGTGGCCAGTGACGTTGTGTAGAGCTTTCCCCCGACATTCAGCGTGACGGGGTCGGACATGGCAGGAGGCTGGGGTGCTGGGAAGCGGTCCTACAGAGGGAGACAAATGAGAGATGACCACCGCCCAACCACAGCGTGTGTCTTAGTCTGTTGGAGCTGGTAGAGCAGAATACCATAGACTGGATGGCTCCGTAACAAACGTGTTCCAGAGCCTGGGAAGTCCAAGATCAAGGTAGGGGCTGTCGTCTTGCTGTACCCTCCTCACGTGGCAGAGGGGCAAGAGAGCACTCTATAGTCTCTTTATAAGGTCACTAATCCTGCTCATGAGGGCTCTACGCTCATGACCTATTCACCTCCCAGAGGTCCTACCTCCTTACACCATCACATTGGAGGCTAGGATTTCAACGTGAATTTTGGGGGACACAGACATTCAGTCCATAGCATCTGGGTAGTCACAGTTCTCAACTCCTTATTGTAGGTCATAGTCCTTGGGGTCAAAATGAATTAATATTTGATGAACAAATGGATGGGTGATAATTGCCACACTGTCTAAAGCATATTAGGTTCACTAGGGGGTTAAAAGAGAAAAAAAAAAAGCAAACAATGCCTGGGTCCCACCTTCCAGAAATTGTTTTAATTGGTCTGGAATGTGGCCCCAGCATTGGTATTTTTAAAACGTGCTCTCAATAATTCTAAATGTTCAATTAGGACAGAGAACCACTGGTCTAAGAAAAGAGAGTAAATGTGCCTGACTGAATACTATGTTACTTGATTTTCCTTAATGGTCATGTATCTTTTCTTTTTTTAAGATTTTTATTGGGGAACTGGGGGGATGGGAACAGTGCTGGGGAATTGGGGGAAGAGGAACAGACAAGTTGCTGTCCTTTTGTTCTTCAGTCTAGTTGTGGAGGACGTTGCTTCACTGGCCCAAGTTGGCACCATCATTGTACTCTTCCCAGACGAGGCAGATCAGTCACCGGCTTCTGGACGGCCGCTCACTGCGGCTGCTGGCCGCTCACGCTGGCTGCTGGCTACACACGGTAGCCCATGGCAACCCACTGCAGCAGGGGCTGTAGCCTACGCCGTGGCCGGCGACTCACAGGCAGCCCAGCTCCAGGTTGAGCTGTTGTTCAGCATCTTAGCTGTGGAGGGCAGTGTCACTGGCCCTCATATGTGGGATCCAAACCGGGGCCCTCTGGCGTCCCAAGCCAGTTCTTAACCATCGCGCCACTCGGCCGGCCCTGGTCATGTATCTTTTGACACAGACAATACCACCATCCATCATGTTCAGATGAGGAAAACTGTGCCTGGAATTCATTCCCCATGTTCAGAGAGGTGAAGGGCCATGCCAGGATTCAAACCCAGGTCTCTTTATATGAGAGAGAAAAATGGGCAAATACTTACTAGCCAAAGACTGGTACACTCTACTTAACAAATGCTCTGAGATTTATGCTCCAAGCCCAGTGCTCCTTTTGCTGTACCAGTATTACCTTCTTATTTATTTTTCCATCTCAAAGAATTTACAACAGTTGGCTGTGATTGGCGCCATTTCCATCTATGTGCTAGGCCCACAGTTGGTTACTTAGCCCTCTGAATCGAAATGACACCCTTTTCTGGACTCTCCTCCTGTAATAACTTGCCTTGCCATGAAGATGCTCTTGGCTCCTGGTGACCTGCCCGTTCCCATCACTATGGCACCCTAGCTGCCTCTGAAACTTGCTTCAAGGTCAGTGCAGATGTGGTCTGCCACTGAGCACCCTTCCCAAGGGCTCTCTACCCTCTCCTTAACAAAGCCTCCCCACCCCTCAACCCCCAACTGATCTCATAGCCTCCAGTGTCTAGGGCTGGTGTGTCTCCTTCAATCTAAAGTCTTGCATTCTAACTTCTCTTTAAGGTTCTAGAAAGCAGGGGATGTACCATCTCCGCTTCCAACATAATACTTTCCCAACAGCCAACCTATGGGATGAATTCAGCAGTCTTTCCTTGATGCCGGGTGTGGGTGGCACAGAGAGGAACTGACCCCAGTGCTGCCCTTGAGAACAGCCCGGGTTGGGGGGGAAACCAAGGCAAGGGGCAGAGAAGGTGCAGTGACAGGGGAGATGTACCAGGCGCCGTGGGGGTAGGCTGGGAAGGAATCCTTGGCGCACCTATTGTCCATATGGGAAAACAGAGGTCCAAGGGGGGACTTCCCCCAAATCACCCAGCAAGGGTGGCGAGCAGGCCAGAATACTACTCACCACGTCTACCTTCTGAGGAGGCTGGCTATACTGAGACCTCCTTACTCCAGAGGATGGAGACCCCACCCCAGAGATGGGGGCCATGCTCAGCTGCCCCACCCAACTGTCTGATGCGGGGGGGGGTCCCCTTGTGATTGCGTCCCTGTCTAATGGGGCACTTTGATACTGCAGAGAGGCATTCACCATCTGGAATGTCGGAAGAGAAACAAGCTGATGATGAAGTTACAAAATCAGCAGCAGCCTGAAGCAGACGGGCTGCGAGACAGTAGGGAGGTCCAACAGAGAAGGGTGGGGTCAAGGGCCCAAGGAAGGGGCAGCTGCTATGTGGAGACCTGCAGCTGGGGAGGGTGCTTGGCCTTGGGGCTAAGTCTGGCCAATTCTCTCTGGAGTAGGCCTCCCCTTCCTCATTTTAGAATCTCCTTTTCTGTCTAGATAGTATTTTGCCTATTCTAGTTTTCAGTCTTTCTCTCTCCTTGATTTAAGGCCCAGGCTCTGAAGTGGCTCAGCTCCATGGAAAGAGCAGGCTCAGGCATCAGAGAGGCTGGGGTGTCTTTCCTGACAATTCTGTGGGCTGCAGACCCCATACTCCTCTGTGTATTAGTGCTGAAGAGTCAGAGCACTGGGGCTAGAGGAGACAGGAGCCACAGGGCATACCCGGGGGCCCTTGAGTGGGTACCCCAACTATTTCTCTGCTTCCAAGAGCAGCAGAGCACCTGCCTTCCTGTCCCCACAGCCACCAGCTTATGGCTCCCGATCATCTGTCTGGGAAGAGCAGTACAGAGAGCTGTACAGTCAGTAGGAGCAGAGGCTGGCCGGGAGGCAGGTGTCTTAGGGTGCTCTCTGTGGTAGTCTCCCCATACCCACGAGGCATAGAGCCCAGTTCTTCGAGCCCCTGTTTTCTAGTGGCAGCAGCATCGTGTCCACCATCACAAATGCACAGGCCTTATTGTGAAAGACACGATGACAGAAGGGGGCAGGAACTGGCACTTCTGGGGGCTGAGGAGCTTTACGAGTGTGACAGGGTTTGTGATCAGGTGGGGATGAACTAACATCACTGGGCTACAGCCCCTAGTGTGTACCCAGCTGCCTCCTGGACATCTCCACCTGGATATCCGTGGGTACCAGAAGCCCAATACAGAATTCGTCTTCCCCCAAAGCTGCTCTGAACTCTTCTCAGCCACCCAGCTGTCTGAGCCTGAGACCCAGGAGGCAGTCCTGACTCCTCATCCCTCAATTTTTTCTCAACTCTGTCTCCTTGAACCCATCCCTATAACTACTCCTGACGTTCAGGCCTCATCCACACTCTCCTTACATCCTCACCTGTCTCCTACCTTCTTTCTGTCTACCTTCCATTTCAGTCTGCAGGCTGATCTTCCCGAAGCACTACTGCTTGCCCAAACCACCTTGCTCTTCCAATCGCACCTCCAACCTCTCTCCTCCCCACACTTCATACTCTGGCACCCTAGATGCACTGCACACACCCTCACACTGTCACCTGCCCTGCCTGTGCTCTCCTTACACCACCACCTCACTTCCACCTTTCCTGCTGTCAGTCAGCCTTTCAGGCTGAGTCACTGCCTCTCTGTAGGGCTGCTCCAAATCTCCACTAGGTTAACAGCTCTCCTCCTGGGGCTTCCAGGTCCCTTGCACAGCCCTCTCTGGCAGTGTCCACCATTCCATCATGTTATGATCTGCTTTGCACATGGCCCTCCTCTCGGATTTATCAACATGCAGATCACTGGACATCCATATTCAAAAAAAGAAACTTGACCCATACCTTGCACCATATGTGAACAGTTAACTCAAAACAGATCATGGACCAAAATGTAAAATCTTTTTAAAACTATGAAAGTTCTAGGAGAAAATCTTTGTGACTTTGGGTTAGGCAGAAATTTCTTGGACAGGTACAAACCATAAAAAAATTTGACAAACTGGACTTCATCCAAATGAAAAACCTCTTAAGACACTTAAGAATATGAAAAAGGACAAAAACTAGGAGAAAATACTTGCAAAACAAATGTCCAATAAAGGTTTATTAACCAGAATATATGAAGGACTCTCAAAACTCAGTAAGAAGGAAACAGTCCAATTAAAAAATGGGCAAATAATCTGAACAAACACCTCACCAAAAAGGATATATAGATGACAATACATGAAAAGATGCCTGACATCATTAGTCATTAGGGACATGAAAATGAAAACCACGATTCGATGCCATTATACACCTAATAAAATGGATCAAATAAGAAATCTGACAATAGCAAATGCTGATGAGTACACAGAGCAACAGAAACTCTCATACAATGCTGGTGAGAATGCAAAATGGTACAACCACTGTGGAAAACAGTTTGGCATATAGCTTCCAAGTGACCCAGCAATCTCACCCCTCGTTAGTTATCCCAGAGAAATGAAAACGTATGTCCTTTCAAAAACCTGTATGTGAATGATTATAGTAACTTTATTCATAATTGCCCAAACTTGGAAACAACTAAGATATACGTGGATAAACAAATGGTGGTACATCCATACAACTGAATATGATTCAGCAATATAAAGGAACTAGCTACTGACACACACCACAACACAGAAGAATCTCAAAAGCATTATGTTAAGTATAAAAAGCCATCCTCAGAAGGTTATGTGGTATGAGATTCTATTTCTATAACATCCTGGAAAAGGCAAAACTGTAAAGACAGAAATCAGATCACTGATTTCTAGGGGATGGGTTGGGGAGAAGACTGGCTTTGTAAAGGCACTATTACCGAACTCAAGGGGTTTGCCCCCTGGAGTGTTCTATTCAACAATGAGACAGGGTTGTTGCTAGGTAGTTTTATTTACTTGCAGCAAGTAAAGGAGACGGGCTTCACATACAAAGCTCTGTCTCCCAGAGGGAGGCTTAGCCATTAGTTAATATATAGTATTTGGTTAATTACATGTTGATTTCTTCTTTGCAGTTAGCTAAACTTCACTAGTTAGGTTCCCCTTTAAGCTAATCTGGCTACAGCTGATTCTGCAAAACAGTGTGCTACATTTTAAGGGTTAGCAGAAATAGCATTTAGTAAGAACCACCCAGACCTTTAGATCCTTGTCTTATCCAACAGCATGAGGGATTATTAATATTTTAGAGTGATGGAAATAGTCTATCTTGATGTGGTGGTGGTCAAATCACTGTATAAAGATTATAAAAAGCCATAACTGTATACCTAAAAGGGGCAAATTTTACTGTATATAAATTATGCCTTCCTCAACTTGAAAAAAATCAAGATTGTGATTGTGTCATGAAATCCATACAGTGGGTTATGCACCAGTTATATCCGTACTATATTGCTGTGAAACTTTTGTTTCAGTTGTGTGTGTGTGTATGTACTGAATTATGATAGAACGTGTATCTTCATACTTTGGGTTGTGATAAAAATTGTTTTTGAAAACCACTGCCTTGTTTGTGATCTCCTTGAGAGCAATGACATGGTCTCCTGTCCCTGCATATTCATTGCCTAGCACACACTGGGTGCTGGTGGCATTGTGGTGGTGGTGGTGGGTGGCAGGCCCTGGGAGGGAAGGAATGTACGTTTACTGAGGGCGTTACTGCATCCAAGGCCTTTACACTTACCAGCCCTTTTCATTCTTACAGCACTCCTACAAAGTAGGCATCCTTCTCCTTGTTGGCTGATAGGACACTGAGACTCAGAAAGACTGGTGACTTGCTCAGGACACACAGCCAGCGAGCCGAGAGCCAATTCTCTTCCTACTGCACAGGCCACTAAGAGTTCTGAGAGTAACAAAAGGCTGTGTAATCGCTTCAACCAGTTTGAGAATCCCCAAAGCAGCCTTTTAAAAGCACTGCTCTGCAGCTTGCTTGGCAAGACAGCAGCTACCACTTGCTGAATACACGCTTCCTGTTTTTACAGTGCGAGGAGCCTCACGTTAACACATGGTAGCATTTGATTTATTTTTAATAAAAATATATAGAAAAGCACAGAGAATGATACTACTGTGCTAAATGCTTTATATACACCCCCTCACTCGATGTCTTCACAAGGACCCTGGGAGATGGACACTGTCCTTATTTCCATTTTACAGATGAGGAAACTGATCTCAGAAAAGGGAAGAGCTGGGATTTGAATACAGGTCTGTGTGGGTCCAACACATTTGATCTTTTCCCGTTCCCACCACGAGGTCTCAGTGAGAGTGAGAGATGCACACTCCCTATGCTCCGTCTAGACCAGACGAGGGTACGGTCTTCTGGGGGCGAGTCCCCTGCCAACCTGTGGCTCTGCCCTCTCACATCTGAGGACCTGGGGACAGGATCGCAGGATGGCCCAGAGCCCCAACTCAGCTGACATGGCAAGTCCACTGAGAGGTCTAAACCCTTCTATTTCAACAGCGACTCATGATGCCTAATGACAAAGCAGCAAAACACAAAAAGCCATGTTTTTTAAAGTCAGAATAGATGAATGGAAACTCAAACTGAACCAGGAAGTACGATATAAAGAAACCTCACCACTGTGTCTGAATGAATAATCTTCTTAAGCAGGAGACTTTCCAAATCTGCCTCGTGACTTGAAAAGAACCAAGGAAAAGACCAGCCCTATTCTGCCTCTTGACTTGAAAAGAACCAAGGAAAAGACCAGCCCTATCTCCCTCTCTGAGAAAACCACTGGTGTCAAACAAGGAAATAATGGCCACACTGATCATTAGACCATCTGACTGGGCAGGAAAGGCCAGGGGGCCTCAGAACAAGTTGTGGCTGGAATTCTCTCTGAGGTGGGTCTGTGGCCCAAATGAGAAGGGGTCTTAAGGCCCAGCCTTGCACCATAGAAAGGGCAATTCCAGCCTGAAAATCACCTGATTACAACCTCTAACTGTGACACAGAAAATAGAATTCTGGAAGAGATGTCCTGTATGGAAGGGCAGCTAAGACATCGCTCTAGAGAGTCCTACTTTAAAACGATGTCCTGGCACCCAGGGTCCCCACAGGCCTCTCGAGCAACATAGCTTATGCTTGATGAATACTTATTATGTACCATACTTGTGTTAAATGCATTATACATCTTGACTTGTTTAAGCCCCAAACGAGGGAAGTATTATCTCTACTTTACAAATGGGAACCTGAGGCTCGGAGACGTTAGGTAACTTGCCCAAAGCAGTGGCAGAGCTTGTATTCAAGCCTGGGCCTGTCTGATAGCAAAGTCTGTGCTCTGAGCGATAACATTCTTTGGGCATTCAGCAGCCAAGGCCCTTGGAGAGGTCTGTCACTTGTCCGCCTCCTACCTCTTACCAGGTGCTCTCACACTTGCCACCTCCATTTGATTCTGACCTACATGAAGACCAGGGCACAGAGAATCAACATTTCCTGAGGATCTAGGACATAACCGGAGCTATGGTGGGACATTTTCCTGGAGATTATTTCATTCAAGTATCACACTGATGCTGTGAGGTAGGTCCAATTATCATCCCAATTTTTAGGATTATAAAACTAAAGCACAGAGTAGTGAAGACAGCTGCTTAAGATCACACAGCTAGAGCCAGCAGAGCGAGAGTTCTAAGTGAGGTCTCTCTCCAAAGCCTGTGCTGCTTCAAGTACACAGGCTGTATGACATTTTATTAAGAAGCATAAATAGGATTTGAATAGAGACCTGTAATGCTTCTAAGAAGGAGACAAAATATCTTAAAATTGTTCTTCTAAAATTAGTTATAGTTGTTAGGCTATCCTAATCCAAATCCTAATAGTATTTTTTCAAAAGGTTAAAAAAAGATTAAAATCTTAGTTTGGAAAAATTGATGCATGATAACCTGAAAGAATATTTGAAAAAGAGTAGTGATGTTAGTATAATGTATTAAATTGGGATTATAAAGCAACAGCATTTCTAACTGGTATTAAAACAAGGAAACAGAGAAGGAATTTTGTATTACATGTGTCAAAAAGATGGGTTAGCAATTAAAAAATATATAGAGAGATGCTTACAACAACTCTAGGACCCTGGCAGGACAGGTCACATTATCTTTATTTCACAAATTTAGGATGAATTCCTGGCCCAGGGCATTGTGTGCATTCCTGACCTCTGAGTCATGGCCTCTGGGAGGTTCCAGGTTTGGACACTGTTCAGAGAGCAGTCCTTTGGAGACAGCCTGGGTTGGGGTCTCTTCTCTAACTCGGGTCTTGAGCAAGAGACTAAACCCACCCACAGAGGTCCCAGCCAATAGCCTGTACACTCATGGCACCCTGGAATAGGATCGGGCTCTTGCTGCAATTTCCTGCATTACTGCCCACTGAGTTTCCATGATGAAACTACCTTCCATGAAATATACTCCTTTGACACAGTGAGGACCAGTTCTGACAACAGTGAATCTACCAAGCAATGTATCCATCCATCCATCCAACCATCTCCATCATTTATTAGCTGTGTTGACTCAAAGAGCCTAGAAATGATACCCTAGTAACAATGAGCACACCTAACTCCAGATCTGTTTCTAAATGTTATCTCCTACAAAAAGAAACCAGGGCTACCTGGAGAAATTGATGATTCCAGGGCTTTGACAGGAAAAGTTCAAGGTGAGCCTGGAACATTTTTAGCCAGGTAGCAAAGAGGCAATCAAAGATTAATGAGGTCATGTGAAAAGAACACAGGAGATCTTAAAAGTTCTCATCAAAACAAAATCTGGTAACTGTGTTGATGGATGTTAATTAAATGCATTGTAATCATTTCTCATAATATACATATGTCAAATCATTGTGTTGTACACCTAAAACTAATACAATATAATATGGCCTGAAGGGACTCTCACTGGCCAAATTTGGGATAGCTTGAGTACCAAAAATATTAATGATGATAATGGGTTATAACACATTGAATTCTTAAAAAATCATGAGTCTATGTTACTCCAAAAAGGAGAGGGTGTGAGACACACACACACACACACACACACACACACACACACACACACACACACAGAGGAAAAAGTTATTCTATAACAAAGAATACCAGCTAATATGAAAAAAGAATTGCATAATTAGAAAATTACCGTTTTGTAATCCTCAATGTTACGATTCAGGCAAGGATCATCAATGGATATGGAATGAAAGGATACTGCAAACACACAATCCCAACAGTCTTAAAGAGTCACTCCACAAACTACTTATTAATAACGAAGGAAAAATGTACCCTTGTATGGAGAGATCAGGCTGTCATGACCTTAACTGATAACCAGATTAGCATTCATGGATAAGTAGGACCCTGATACCATATGCTTCCTCACGTGATGCAGTAAGTACTGTATATAACATTACCAGAAAAAATCTAGTCATGGGTAAAATAATCAAATTTAAATAGGTGGAAAGGCTCTATCTAGAATAAGTGAGTTGCTTAAAAATATAACTAAATGCAATGCATAAATCTTCACTGCGTCTGATTAAAAAACTATTAGGTAATGTTTTGGTAATTGGAGAAATTTGAATATCAACTGTTTATTAGATAATATGACTTCTTGCTAATTTTCTTATGTTTGATAATGGTATTATGGTTATGTAGGAGAATGATATAATTAGATACATGCTGAAGAATTTAGGGGTCAAGTGTCAAGATGTCTATAGCTTTTTAATAGTTTGGCAAAAAGTGTGTGTGAAAGCAAAATCACCAAAATGAGTTGGTGCATCTAGGTGAAAGGCTGTTCTTTAAACTTTTCTGTAGGCTTGAAAATTGTAAAAATATTTTTATTTTGGAAGAAGGGTGGATAAAAGAACACTTCCCTCACAGAACCATAGATGTAAAGTGCTAGTCAGAGTGCCTAACCCCAATAAATACGACATTTGTTATTACTACTACTAAGAAGCATTGATATAATTTTCCTCTCCAGCTGTCATTGTGCTTTGGAGGATGAGGAAGCCAACCAGGGCTAAGCTAAAATAGCCCCATGTTGGTGGAGTTAGAATTTAAACCTGAGTGGTCTCCCTACATAGACCCAGTACCCAAGAAACCATAACACTACACCTGCCTACCTCTCTGCTGGGATCCGGGCTGAGAGAAGATGGCTGTTCAGGCCGTACGTCCCCTGCGTCCTGAACCCAGAGATTGTTACTACAGAAGGAAAGAAATCCCTGTCACGGCTCACGGAAAATGTTCACCAACGGGGGCCACTTCTGGGCATCACAAATGTTGCGGATGGGCAGAAAGAAATGGAGGGGCTTTGTGGGGGAGAGAAAACTGCATGGGATTTGACGTCACCTGGGTCTGCCTTTGAATCAGACTCTGCCACTTAACTAGCTGTCTGGGCCTAGGCCAGTTTCTGGATAGATGATAAAGTCACCATCATCATAACAATAGCAGCAATAATAATGGGAGCTGACATTTACTGAGCAGTTATTTCTGTGCTAGGCACTTTATGCATGTTGACATCATAAATGAAGTAGATACAGACGTATCTGTTTTATTGCACTTCATAGGTGTTGAGTTTTTTACAAAGGGGAGGCAAGACCCTCCACCTGCAAAAAGATGACTTGCTTTACCGCGATACTTGCTTTATTGCGGTGGCCTGGAATGGAACCTGCAATATCTCCGAGATATGCTTGTATTATTATTATCCCTACTTTTATGCCAGGCCCTCTCCTACTTCTGTAATTTGGCACCTACCATCCCCTCTGCCGGCACTGTGAAGGAAAACCCCATTCATTGGCCAGGCCTCTTAGCTGGAATTCATTCCTTCCTCCTCTGTACCTCCAGGGGGTTTTATTCTCACCCCCTACCAAGGCCCACTTTACTTAAGTAGGTGGGTGCCTGGCCACCCTGTTGGCGCTGGGATTTCCCCTCTCTGTACCTACAGAAGCAGGTAGGGGAAGGGGAAGAAATTTCTTTCCCTGTTTAGTGATCCATTTTCCTCACCCCAGACTGACTGTCATGTACAATAGGGGGGTTTGTCACCCTCTCCTGAATTTTCAATTTGGAATCTAAGACACAGGGCAAAGCCCAGGTGGCAACCTGGAAGTAAATGCAAGAACTCCCACTGTGTAGGAGATGGAGGGAACATGGTTGGGTAAATGGGTAAATCTCAAGGATGACAGGGCTGAGTGAGTTATGTATCTCCCAGGAAACCAGATGCGACTTCCCCACCTTCCTCAGCCCACCAGGATATAAAGACTGGCTCAAAGCCCTGGGGACTGGATGGGGCACCACCCTTCACCTCCCCTTCCTGGTCTCCCTATACTCAACAGGTGTATCTTTAGCTCTGTTTTGCCCAGTTCGTTCATTTCTAAGAAGTTCACAGGCTGCTCCATTACCCCTACAACCCACACAGTAGGAGGCAAAAGGTGTCATACATGGACCCTGGCTGCTCAATAGCCCAAGGGATAGGGAAGGTGGGCTGGAGGAGGGAAGCCACTGACCTGGCAACCTGACTTCCCCATTTGCACAGCAAAGTATTCTCTCACCTGTTACAGATTCCCAACAACCAGTTTCATCCCCTAGCCCCCATTCCAGAATTTTCCTTCATCCTCTCAGTTCCCTTTCAGGCTTCATCTTGGAATTTTCCTCAGGCAGAAGCACCCTAGTTCAACCAGTGTCTCCCTCATAGCTGTCCTGCTCCTAACAATTATAATTTATAAACAAAGGTCTTTTAAATCCATCTCATTTTATCCTCAAAACAATCACAGGCGCGTTGCCTGACACGTTGGCATTCAAAAAGGTTAAGGACCACAACTAGACTGAAGAACAAAACGACAGCAACTTGTCTGTTCCCCTTCCCCCAACTCCCCAGCACTGTTCCCATCCCCCAATTCCCCAATTAAAAAAAAAATCTTAAAAAAAAGGTTGAGGAAGCTTGTCCAGTCACACAAACCAAGAAGGGCAGGGTGTCACCTTCTTTTTCTTCCCTGCCACCCACTCCAGGCTAAACCTCTGCCTCCCTACAGTGCAGGAAAAAAAGAGCAGGACCTTTGGAGTAAGGAGGCCTGGGTGGTTTTGGGCAAGTCACTTCACTTCTCTGAGCATTTTCCTCACCTGTAAACAGGTATGGTGATGCCCTTACAGGGTCTAAGAGTTGAATGAGGTCAACTCAGTGTGTGACGCACTGAGTTCAAGGGTTGGGCTCTTTATTTTTAGCCACAAGGAAAAGAAGATGTTCTGTGCATCCGAAGGTATTTGCCCACTCAGGCAGCCCCTTGCCCATATTATATCAGCGCTGCCCACACTGGGCTTTCCAGGGCCGGGACGCGTCCTTTTCATATTTGTCTCCGCCACTCCTTCCCCAAAGCTTTTCGGCCCATTCCACCCAATCCATGCCAGGCTTGCCTCATCGGCTTTCTCGGCACCCACTCCCAACCCTTGGAGCGTTCCTTCGACCTCACGCATATTCTCCTACTCACCTAGGGACTCCGCCCCTCCTTGCCCTACCTACCAAAGGCTCCTCCCAACAGTCCCGACCCTCATTATCCGGGCTTTTCCCTACCATCGCCATCCATTCCAGCTCCTTCCAACAGCTCCGCCCCCTCTACTCGATAAGCGCCCCCTCCCCGGCAGCCACAAGCGTCACCATCCCCATCGCACAGATGAGAATGGCGAGGCTAGGGTAGGCTAGATGACCTCTCATGGTGGGACTGGTACCCGGGTGGGCCCGCACCCCCTCACCGGCTGTCCCTGAATCCCGCGACCCCGGCCGCGCCGCACCCACCTCCTGCCCTGGCTCTGCAGCCTCCCCTCCGCGGGCGGCCAGCGCAGCTTTTGCAAGGGGGCGGAGGGCTGGAGCCCAGCTTAGGGGCGTGGCGGCCCGGGATCCGCGCGCTGCGCTCCCGGACTTGTAGTTCTCTCTGGGTTCTTTGTGGCTTGGTGCCCCGAGCGTGAACTACATCTCCCAGGAGGCATTGCGGTGGGCCGTCCAGCTCCCCACCCCGCCCCCGCCAGGGCTCACGCCGGCTGGTCTTAAAGTGGACGCGGCTTGAGTGGCGGTTCGCGGGGTGGCCCCCGCTCGGGCTCCGCCCTGTTTCCCCGCACCTCGCCCCTCCCCCCGTTTCGCCCCGCAGCCCCGCGGCTGCGCCTGTGAGTCGCGCTCCCTGGATACGGACTTGTGCAGAGAGGGGTGGGGAGGTTGGACTTCGCAGTGGAAGGAGCATCCCTGCGGTCTGGGACCTGGCGGAGGGCGTCCTCACTCCGGGGGGACCTGAGGACCCGCCCTGACCTAGCCTGGCCTAGCCTATTCCTGCCCTGCCCAGGAGCCGGGTCTGAGGCAGGGGCCACTGGGGTCCCAGAGGTAAGAGGGCTGGGGGCATGTGTGCGGATTGGGGGGAAGGAGTGCCTTCACCCTGGATGTTCGAGAGCCCCAGACACCGGCATAAGGCTCGGAGGGCTCGGGGTTGGGAAGCGGAAGGTCTGGGTGCATCCTGGGCCTCGCTGTGTGACCTTGGGCGAGCAGCTGCCCCTCTCTGGGCCTCAGACACCATCAATCGTGTATGGAGGTGATCCTGCCCCCCGCTTCCCTCACAGCTGAGGGCACCAGTGCCTAGTAGTACCAAGAAGCTCACCTATCTTTTTGGGGTCCCGCAGCCTCAGCCAGGGTTAGGAGCAGGTGCACTGGTAAAACTGGAAGGAGGGGTGGCATCGAGCTGGGACGCAAACTGGGGGACCAAGAGTCCGCCTCCGCTTGGAATGGGCTTCTGCTGTTCTCAGTCTCCCGTTCAGGCGTACTCCCGTCTATGAGAGCTCAGCGAACAGGAGACCTTGATATGTCAGCCTGGTGCCCCCCCTTCCAGAAAAGCTGGGGTGTGGGTGGGGACTCAGCCATCAGAGGTATGTGAGGGTGTCCCCCAGCCGGGATGGGTGAGTGGTGGGTTCCTGAAAAGAGCATATATACTCCCATCCTCTTCCCCTCTCTATCCCCCATACCTCTTCAGTAAAAGAGCAGTTACTTTTTTTTTAACCAGTAAAACCTCTTTTTACCTTTCTTTCCAGGAGATAGTTTGGTGGCTCAGATGAGGGCCTCCCAATAGTAGGGCAAGGGACTCCTTCCCAGGGCCCCTGCCCAGAGACTTGGGAGGCCAGGGATGGAGGGACTTCTGGTTGTGGGGAGAGACAGCCTGGTGCCCCACAGGAAGTCAAAGGAGGGAAAGTGGGTATGAGGGTCAGAGAGAGGAAATGGGCTACATAGCTCAGGTGCTGAGCTGGGGCTTGGAGGCGCTGCTGTGCTCTGGGGTAGGGAGAGGGTGAGTGAGACCTTGAAGCCCCCTTGCCTGTCCCATGAAATTCTGTGAGCTTTTGACCCGAGGGTTAACAAGGAAGTTTTTTTTTCCCTTCAGCTTTGGTTTGAGTCGTTTCTAGACTGGATAGAGCCTCACTCAGTCCCTCCCAGTGACCTCTGTCTTGGCTGAATTCTTGGCTGGTGTCTAAGAGTCTCAGAATTATGGATATACGAGACCAGACCTGGACAGATGTGGGAGCAGTAACTGGACAAAGAGGCTAGTCCCTAGAAAGTGCATTTCTGGTCATATTCTTCGTTTTATCTCATCTTGCTCTCACATGTCTCTTGTTGGTCACTTGGTACTCCTTCACCTGTGCCTGGTCCTGTGTTGGGCACTGGGCACAGATGGGGGGATTGGACCTACTTCCTACCAAAGAAGGGCTGGGGAGGTAGACAGAATCCAGTCACTGCTGAGGGATGAGAGAACAGAGCCTTGGGAAGCCAGAACTCAGAGACCTGGACTTCAGAGAGATTAGGATAGACTTCCCAGAGGAGGGGGCATGTGACCTGAGCAATGAAGGAGTTGGAATTAACCAGGAGAGAAGAGGGGGAAGCCCTTTTACAGCCAAGAGGACATCAGCAAAGGTGGCCAGCAGGAAAAGCCCACTGCCCAAATTCCTGTAGATTCACCACTGAACAGTATTTGTCAAGTTCCTCTCCACTCCTGCCCCACATCAGCTAAGTGCCCCAGAAAGGGCTTGAATGTCAAGCTCAGGAGTTTGGACCTTATCCTGAAGGTGCTGGGAGCTTTGCGAGTTCTGAGCAGGGGCATAGCAAGATGAAGCTTATGGTCTAATGAGATTAATCTGATGATATTTGCAGAATGGGCCAGACAGACCAGGAAGGGCTGAGGAAGCCTGAGTTGGGGCTTAGGGCATGAGGGTGGGGCGGGGCATTGTACACACACACACACACACACACACACACACACACACACGATGCTTTGGGGGTGATGGAAGTGAGTCATGCTCCACCACGCAGGAACAGAGACCAGTCAATACTCAGCGGAAATGCAGAGGGTCATCTGAGAGAGACAGATAAAGGGATCTGGGCCTTCCAGGGGAGGGATCGTGATTTTCCTATGTGCTTACTGTGTACCCTGCAGAGGACTGGGTGTTGCTGGGACTCTGAGGCCGTCATGCCAGCAGTGAGAAATAGAAGCCTAGGGCTTGGGGAGGAGCAGCAGCATTGGCTGGGAAATGCTAAGGGGTGGTCATCTCCCGTTTTGGGGTTCAGAGGCTCAGAGAGGTGAAAGAGCACCAACCTTGTGGCTGTGGCCACCGTGGAGGGTAGTGGCTGGGCTAGAGTCAAAGCCTGGACTCTGTTCTTTTGCAGGAAACATGCCTCTATTGGAGGACGGATTGAGGGAGGGAATGAGGTGATTGGTTAGGAGGCAACTGCACCAGTCCAGGCAAGAACTGGATTGGGGCTCAGGGAGAGACAGTGGAAACGGAAGTTGGCAGTGAGGGCTAATGGATGAAATTCCTTATAGAATCAGCAAGATCAGGAGTGTGTCTCCTTCCCTGACAGTGTCTGTTTTACCCCTCAGTGCCAGATGACCCAGGAATAGACTTGTGACTGCCCCAGCCTTCATCTTTTTTAGACCTTGTCCCAGCCCCATCAGCGGCAGGTGGAGTGGTCCCCATTTTTCAGGTGAGAAGGCTGAGGAGCATAGCAGAGACTCACCCAAGGTCATCTGGTGATTCTGAAGCAGAGAACCTGGGTCTTGTGCTTTTAAGGCAGGCTTTTCTGAGGGAGGACATGGCGGCATTTGCTGCTGTGTTTGGCGTGGGGCAGCTGTCTCTTGGGTCAGAGCCAGCATCCACATGCTGCGTCTCCTGGTCCAGAGCCTAGAGGGGTAATCCAACCTCCCCTGAAGAACGCTGGGTGTCTGCTTCTCCTCCCCCAGGGAGGCCAAGTGCAGGTTCTAACCCCTCTCTGCTGAGGCTGTGCTCTTCGTCCTCAGTGATGCTCGGCTGCCCCATTTATACCACAGGGATAACAAGCCTTATCCTGCCTCCCTTCTGTGGCCCGTGATGGGGTCAGGTGAGCTTTGGGCCTCTAAAACCCTTCTGCATGAATGCATCGAAGATATTGTTGAGTGGGTTTGTTGGTGACTATGGTGACAGCTGATCTCAGACTGCCTGTGTGGGAGTGGGGGCAGGTAGGCAGGGCTTGCCTGGAGTGGCCAGGCCATGGACTACCCAGAGGCTGCAGGGCTGGCCTCGAAGATCAGAGCCCTCACGGAATGGCTCTACTGACTGAGCTCCCAGCTGCTGGCACAAAGCGTCTTATATGGTAGGTATCAGGTAGAACGATATGAAATCTGATCCTTCACTTTCATGTGGTTCAACCTAGTATTATTTGTCCCCATTTTACAGAAAAGAGGCTCATGATGTGATTTGCTCAAGGTCACACAATGAGCTGCAGGATTGGAGTAAGATTTGCTGAAGGTCACGCTGACATGCAGGATTCCTCATTCTTAGTCTTTCTTTCCACTTCCAGAGTCTCCCCGGGCCCCCAAACTCCATTTCTGCCTGCCCCAGGTCCTCTTCCTCCACATGTGATGTCAATATCTCATCGATTAGGGTTTCTCCTTGGCTGCCTGAGTACAGACATACCATGGAGATATTGCGGGTTCGGTTCCAGACCACCGCAATAAAGCCAGTATTGCAATAAAGCAAGTTGTAATCTTTTTGCTGGTGGAGGGTCTTGCCTTCAATTTGTAAAATATGCAACATCTGTGAAGTGCAGTAAAGCAAAATGCAATAAAACGGGTATGCCTGTACCTGGGTTACGTGGTTGAAAGCATATGAAATCCACTAGCACAGAGGACAGAGGTAGCAGTTTGGGCAAATGATCTGCAAGGGAGGTTGGCCACTGCCTAGGAAAGAGAGGACCAGGGATGAAGGGGTACCAGTTTTTAAAGGCACTTTGAAAGGCCTTTTGAGATTATGCCTTTCCTCGGCACTCTTTGCCAACACCTCTGCCTTCACAGTCAGATCGGAAGCTCCTAAGAGCAAGGGCTTTGCTTCTGAAGTGAAGGGGATGACATTTTTCTGAGCACTTCCTTGTGCCCAGCAGCATGGCAAGGACTTTATATTTGTCTTCACAACAATCCTGCAGGGTGGAAGCAGGCTCAGAAAACATAAGTAACCTGGACAGTAAGCAGAATGCATCCTCTCATTCAGAGTAAAAAAAAAAGCAGAATCGAACACACCACTTCAGGAGGCTTAGAGTGGGCCCTGGGCACATGGACTTGTGCTAAGTACCCAGGGGATTATGAGGCCAGCGCTGGGGAACCACTGATCTGTACCCTGGCTACACCTATAGTAATCTCTACAGAGGCACTCAGGCTGCAGTGACTGGCAGAGGAAATGCCAGCCACTGAGAAATACGCCTCAATCCCCACCCTGCGGAGCTCACAGCCTGTTAAGATAGAGACCTAAACAAATGGGCCCATTGCATTGTAAACACATGCAGTAATGGAAGTGTGGTCTTGGCCAAGAGCTAGGACAGAGAAGGGAGTGTCTCCACAGTGCCTGGCACATAGCTGGGGCCCCACAATATCTGTGGTTTTGAATAAAAGTGTCTGGCCCCTCCTCTAGGAAGTTTCTTGTGTTCACACCAACTCCAGGTCTCAAGCATAGTTCTTATTTTACTGAGCCAGTAAGTTTAAACACCTACTGTGTGCTGAGCCTTATATCTGGTCCTTGCCTACAGTGGGATTATACAGAGAAGCAAAGAAATGCACCTGCCTTCTTGGAGCTGAAAGTTGGATATTACGAGAGCAAGCTGTACCCATGTGAACCAGCGTGAGAATTAGGATTCAAGTGGGTCAATGGAGGAAGGCTTCCAGACAACAGCCCACATGGAGGGGAGGGGCAGAGGGAAAGCTATTATGGCTCAGGAATAAGATGGCAGTAACTCACGCTGTATTCTGCATTTGCTCATTTAACAAATGCCTACTGTGTGCCAGATGCATACTGTGGGCTAGGAGCTGGGGACACCATGGTGAACATAACCTGATGTGGTTCCTGCCCTCAGGAACCTGTAGGCACACCTGGGAGACACTGCAGATTCCGTTCCAGACCACTGCAATAAAGCGAGTCATCATCTTTTTGCTGGTGGCGGGGATCTTGCCTTCCATTTGTAAAAAACAGATCTGTGATGTGCAGTAAAGGGAAGCACAATGAAACGAGGCATGCCTGTGTACTCGTATAGCATAGTGGAGGAGGTTGACTCCAGTCAAGTAATCATGGTAAGTGCCAGGAAGGAGGATGGGATGCTTTGAAATTGTTAACAGAGGCGTTTGAGCCAGGCAGGAAAGTCAGGCAAGCCTTCCTCGAGGAAGTGAGTTTGAGCTGAGGTCTGCAGGGTGAGCCAAGCTGGGAGGGGATGGGAGAACATACGCAAAGGGCCCAGTGGCAGGGAGAACACAGTGAACCAAGATGGAGGGGCTGGTGTGGGCTGAGGCTGGGGAGGCACGCAGGGCCCGGAGTGTGCGGAGCACAGGGACCAGATGCTGCTCCCGGGAGGGGATTTGGACCCATACAACCCTGGCACTATGTGATTCCAGCAATGATGGAGGAAGAGACCACAGGCGGCCCTAGATATTGAGGGTGAGGGATGCATTTATGCCTGGAGGTCCAGGGCTGTTCTCATTGAGGACAGGGTGTTTGAGGTGGACTTTGAAGGAAAACAGGAAAGTTTGCCTGGTTGTGTGTGTGGTGGTGGTGGAGGTCTTGGGAAATAGGATGTTTCAGGCAAAAGGCACAGCATACTCAGAGAAGTTGAGTTTTGGAAAGATGTAGATCATTTGAGAAAGAGCAAGAAGTTGATTGGGGGCAGAATAAAGTGTGCTGGGGATCTTGGGAGGACCTGTTGGCCCTCCCTTGGGGCCCTAAGCCCTCCTTCCCTGGAGGTGTGGGTGTGTGTGTCTGTCCTGACTCATCTGTACCACAGGACATGACTTGGCCAGAACGCTGGAAAGCAGCTTCTAGATCTAGCTCCCACCTGCCCCAAGAGTGGGGGAGGTCACCAGGGAAGCCTGGGGAGAGAAGGGCAAAGGAGTGGGCAGTGGGCGAGAGCTCAAGCGCTGCCTTTGGGAGATGAAAGACGTACATCAGCCATAACTGCAACACGCTAGGACTTATTATATGCCAGGCATTGTGCTTTACCTCATCATGACACTTCCCAGCGAGGTAGGTACCCTTGCCCCATCTCACAGATGAGGGAACTGTGGCCCAGAAAGGTTCAGTTGCTTGCCCAGCACGCAGGGGAACACATGGGGTCTTGGACCTATCAGCCAGAGTGTGAACCTGCTCCCTGTTCCCCGCAGCACGGCCGCCATGGACAAGATTCTGGAGGCGGTGGTGACGTCGTCATACCCGGCAAGTGTGAAGCAAGGGCTGGTGCGGCGAGTGCTGGAGGCGGCGCGGCAGCCGCTGGAGCGGGAGCAGTGTCTGGCGCTACTGGCCCTGGGCGCGCGCCTCTACGTGGGCGGCGCCGACGAGCTGCCGCGCCGCGTGGGCTGCCAGCTGCTGCACGTGGCTGGCCGGCACCACCCAGACGTCTTCGCGGAGTTCTTCAGCGCGCGCCGGGTGCTGCGCCTGCTGCAGGGTGGCGCCGGCCCGCCGGGGCCCCGCGCGCTCGCCTGCGTGCAGCTCGGTCTGCAGCTGTTGCCCGACGGGCCCGCGGCGGAAGAGGTGTTCGCGCTGCTGCGGCGCGAGGTGCTGCGCACTGTGTGCGAGCGCCCGGGGCCCGCGGTCTGCGCGCAGGTTGCCCGGCTGCTGGCGCGGCACCCGCGCTGCGTGCCCGATGGCCCGCACCGCCTGCTCTTCTGCCAGCAGCTGGTGCGTTGCCTCGGCCGCTTCCGCTGCCCGGCCGAGGGCGAGGAGGGTGCAGTGGAGTTCCTGGAGCAGGCCCAGCAGGTGAGCGGGCTCCTGGCGCAGTTGTGGCGTGCGCAGCCTGCAGCCATCCTGCCCTGCCTCAAGGAGCTGTTCGCCGTCATCTCCTGCCCAGGTGCGTGTGCTCTGGGGCGGGGGCGGGAGCTCGAGCGCGCCAAGGTCCTGGATGCACGTCTGGGCAGGTGGCTGTTCGTGCACATTTTTCTGCTTGGCGTGCTCACGTAGATGTGGTATGTGTGTGCCAGCGGCAAATGCACAGGTGGGAGAAACTGTGTTCCAACATTTAGTTAGCAAGCCTATGTGGAGCACCTGCTGTGGGTCTTGTCCTGTGGCAGGTGCTGGGTATGTAGGGGGGAACAGACTGCCTGGTGTGGGAAAAGGACGAACCCCGATTAATCTGGCCAGAAGGAGGACCTGGAGGCTGAGCGAGACAAAGGAGGGGAGGGGGTCATCATGCCCTTTGGGTCAGGTGGGTTTCTCAGCTGTGGCGACTTTTGAGCCAGATCTTGGAGAGCTGGGCAGCAGCAGGGGCAAGGTGCTCTGGGCAGGCAGAGGGAAGGTCTGGAGACTCAGCAGAGTCTGGAGGTGTCAACACTGCAGTGCAAAATTTTGGTCCTCCATTGACAACTGGAACTTGGACTATAGTAAAAATAACTGAAGTAAGTTCTGCACCTTCCTTGATTAGAGAGGAAAGGAAGGTGATGGACCTGGTGGCAGAAAGAACCAAGGCCGGGTGTGTAAGAACCTGGGTCCTTAGACAACTGGACAACCAATTTTTATAACTAAATATTCTTTCTCACCTCTAGGCCTTTGTCTATGTGGTTGCACCTGGAATGTCCTTCCTCCCCCCAAGTCCACATAGGCCTCCTATCTGCTCATGCCAGCTCCAATGTTACCCCTTCTAAAGGCCTTGCCTGTACACCCGCAGTTGGGGGTCGGTGCATTTTTTTTTGTTCCTAGTACACAGCTGGGCCCAAAGCAGTGTCGGTGGAGGTTTGATGAGTGGATGAGTTAAGATAGAATCAGAGGCTGTGATGCCGAGGGGGTGAGGACGTGGTCCGGACGTGTCCTCTGCAGAGGCCCAGCCTAGTTCTCTGGCAGCATGAGGGCACGGCATGATGGGGGAGTTAGGGGCACACCTGCCTTGCAAAGCTCAGCCTGGCCCCATGTTCCAGAGGAGGAGCCGCCGTCTAGCGCACTGGCCAGCGTGGTCCAGCACCTCCCGTTGGAGCTCATGGATGGCGTTGTCCGGAACCTCAGCAATGACGACAGTGTGATGGACTCCCAGATGCTGACTGCTATCAGCAGGTGGGCCGGGGGCTGGGCGTTGGCCAGGTCTCTCTCCCTTCTAGAAGCCCCTTCCTCTGGGTGGGGTTGCTGGGTTAGATTTAATGTCAGAGGGCCCAGGCCCTCGTGCTTGTTCATTCATCAGCCCTTTCTTGAGCCCTGCTTTGTGCTGGCCCAGGGCTAGATGTAGAAGATACAGAGGGCCCTGCCTAGTGAGGCTCCCAGGCTGGGTATCAGCTGTGAGGCCCTGGACAGGTCAGTGAACTCTCTGAGCCTCAGTTTCCTATTCTGTAATAGCCGATGTGGGTGGTGGTAAAAAAAAGTCGTCAGGCTTCCATGGAGTTATATCAGAAGGTGAAAGTACTTAGTAATTGCTTTCTGAGTTTGACAAGTATGATAAACTGTTTGGCTGCTATTTAGCTCACAGAGGTCTTGCATGTCCCCCACCTCATTTGAACATCATCCAGTCTGTGATCTAGCCACACCTGCACGTTAAGTGACCCCAGAATATGCTGCCCCGCCGTCCTGCCTGCAGGCTTTTGGCTCTGCACACCCCATTCACTTGGCATGCCTCCCCTTGCCATTTTTTCCAAACCCAAGTGCAGATCCACTGTCTCCATTGGGCCTTCCTGAATTCTTTGTCTTTAGTGGGTAAGAGTGTGGCCTCTAGAGGTAAGCGGCCTGAGTTCAAATTCTGGCTCGACCACTTCATGTCTGTGTGACTTTTGGGCAAGTTATTCAACTTCTGTATGCTCTAGATTCCTTATCTATAAGATGTGGTATGAGCGGACCCATCTTATAAGGTTGTTTTGAGGATTAAATTAGATAAAATCAGATAATACATGTAAAGTGCCTAGAAGCTATTATTATTGTAGTTACTGTTACTTTGTTCTCACATTGTTTTACCTCGTTATGTATAGTCGACCGAGTATAAAAATAATAGTGACATTTTCCTGGGCATCTACTAGGTGGCAGCTTCAAGCTCTCTGCATACAGATGTTATGTTGTGGGGTCAGATGGGATAATACATGTAAAGCAGATAGAGCATTGCCTGGCCTAGAGTGAATACCACAGAAGCATTAGCTATTATCTCTTTTATTTTTTTATTTATTTATTATTTTAAAAATATTTTATTGGGGAATTGGGGGAGGGGAACAGCATTGGGGAATAGGGGAAGGGGAACAGACAAGTTGCTGTCCTTTTGTTCTTCAGTCTAGTTGTGGAGGACGTCGCTTCACTGCCCATGTTGGTATTATCATTGCGCTCCTCCCAGGTGAGGCAGTCGCTTATCGGCTATTGGACGGCCGCTCACGGCGACTCACAGCAGCTCAGGAAAGCTCATGCCGCTGCCGGCCAGCCCCACTGCAGCCTACGCAGTTGCTGGCAACTCATGGCAGCCCAGCTCCAGGTCGAGCTGTTGTTCACCATCTTAGCTATAGAGGGAGCAGCATCACTGGCCCACATGTGGGATCCGAACCAGGGTCCTGCTGCTCAGAGCTGGTGTCCCAAGCCAACTCTTAACCAACATGCCACTCGGCCGGCCCATCTATTATCTCTTTTAATCCATACAATGACCCTGCTGTTGGTAGGCATTCTTCCCATTTTACAGAAGAAGAAACGGTGGCTCAGAGAGTAAGTGACTTGTTCCAGGTCATAAGCTATGGTTTGGGGAGCCAGAGCTTCTGGCCTGGGGACAGTGCTCCTCCTGCCATTAGGGTCTAGGCAGAGGTACCCCAAAACCCTGTTCTTCCACTGCAGCCAGTGTATATGGGGGTGAGGTTTGGGGTGTTGAGAGGGCCTGGCTCCCCTCCTGCTGGACGTGATGCGCTTGTCTCTGCCAGGTGTCTTGCTGGGCTCATTGGACATTCCAGAGGTGTCTCGTTCATCCCAGGGGCCCCAGGGCTGCCCTATGCAGGTGTGAGTCAGTGTAGGGCCTTGGGACATTATGGCCAGTCCCTGGCACCCCCCCCAGGCATTTGGGCCACCCTCGTCCCTGTGTCACTGTCACTCACTTCACCAGGATGATCGACTGGGTGTCCTGGCCCCTGGGGCGGAACATTGACAAGTGGATCATTGCATTGCTGAAGGGTCTGGCTGCTGTTAAGAAGTTCAGCATCTTGATCGAGGTGTCACTCGCCAAAATTGAGAAGGTTGGTGGGCCCCTGCCTAGCCCCTGCTTATGACTTTTCCCACTAATCTCTTGCCAGGGGCAGTGCAGGCCTGAGAGGCAGAGCACTGGTGCTCCCACCCAAGCTTGCTGTGACCTGGGACAATTCATTGCCCCTCACTGGGCCTCAGGTTCCCCCATTCATTCCTCTGACTGCTCATTCAAGCATGGGTATGTTACTTTTGGTGTGTCTGTCCATCCATCAGCTATTTAACTATCTTGCTGTCCATTTCACCATCTGTCTGTCTACCCAGGTCTGTGAGCGCCTCTGTATTCTTGCTCAGGCATGGGTCTGCTGCTTCAGCTCCAGCCTGTGGCTGCACTCAGCCTTGGGTGGCCCAGGTCTGGGGCACTCTTGACCAGGGACTCTCTTCCAGGTGTTTTCCAAGCTTCTGTACCCCATTGTCCGGGGAGCCGCCTTGTCTGTCCTCAAGTACATGCTCCTGACCTTCCAGCACTCCCATGAGGCCTTCCACCTGGTAAGGGCCCATCCCTGCTGCATCCCACACTGGTCTGGCTGGAGGCCAGACATGTTGTCTCTGTTGGGGGTTAGGGGGCTGGGGCTTGAAGACCAAGCCTTTTAAGGCCTGAATGTTCGGACTGGAGGATTGAGACCCCAATTTACAGATAGGAAACAGGCCAGAGAATTTGTATGGCCTCCCCACGGCCCGATAGTGACAGGCCTAGAAAGATGACACTTTATGTTCCCTGGGTGCCAGCTGTGTGCCAGTCACAATGCTACAGGCAGTACATATGTTCATTCATTTAATGCTCAGAGCAGCCCCAAGAAGGAGGTTCTGTCATTTTCACCATTTTTTCACTTGAGGAAACTGCATTATAGGGAGGTTAAGTCACTTGTCGTGGACACATAGCTGGTGATCAGTACAGGAAGGATTCTAGCCAAGTTGATCTAACTTCTGCCCCAGTGCCCTCCCTGTACCCTGCTGCCTGCCAGCACCCAGGTGGCCTGGCCTCCAACTCAGGTCCCTTTTGGCTGGTGTTTGGGCCCTCCCTTGGGAAGGACTCCCTGTGGCCCTGGGGAACTGCCTTCTGCTGCCTGCCTTCCGAGGACCTGCAGGTGGGGCCCTGGATTCTGATGGCCCCTGGTCAGGGCAGAAACTTCCTGCTCCCTATTTGTTGCAGAACCAGAGATTGAGGTACTTAGGGTTGAGTCCCAGCTCTGCTGTTGGCCAGATGTGATGACCTTGGGCCAAGCCCTTACCTTTCAGAGCCTGAACAGGGGTATAATCCATAGGACGCTGGGTGCGGGTTAGAGGAGGTAATATTTATCAAGAGCCTGCCACGTACTAAGGACCTGACAGATACTGGTTTCTTTCCATCCTTCTCCTGGGCTCCCCTCCTCCCAGTGCCTCCCTGGGGCGTGCTGGTGTAGCACCCCCGTGGGTCTGAAAGAAATGGGCTCTGGATTCAGACAGACCTAATTCAGACACCAGCTTCTCCTGTAACCCACGGTGAGATTCTTGGCAGGTTGTAGAACCTCACTAACTTCAACATTTTCATGTAGAAAATGGAGATAATAATCACTGCCACATAAAGGCATTGTGAGGGTGATGTGCTTGACATGTATGTTTGGTGAAAGAACGATGGTGTTTTTCCCCTTAGAGGTGGCTGCCTGTGCTCCATCGGGGCTGCCCACCGGCTGACCACGCCGGGACCCTAGCCTCACTCCTGGGTGGGCAGGGACGCCCTGGTCACTCAGGCCTCCGGGCAGGTCAGCTGGTGAGGCTTAACAGTTGGGGCTTGGGCTCAGGCCTGCCCTCAATTGTGAGGAGGGAATTATAGATCCCATCTTATGGGTGAAGAGACTGAGGCAGGGTGTCCAAGGTCACAGTCCTGTAAGGAGCTCGGAGCCCCACATGGGTAAGGGAAGGGTCAGGTGAGCAAACCTCCTGCCTCAGGGAGCTCTGGGTGTGCTCAGCAGTGACCACCCCACATCTCAGGTGGCTAAACCGGTCCTGAGCCTAACCCTACTCTGCTCTCACAGCTTCTCCCTCACATCCCCCCCATGGTGGCCTCTCTGCTCAAGGAGGACTCCAACTCGGGGACCAGCTGCCTGGAGCAGCTGGCGGAGCTCGTCCACTGCATGGTGTTCCGGTTCCCGGGCTTCCCGGACCTGTACGAGCCTGTTATGGAGGCCATCAAGGTGAGTGACAGTCCTCTACTGCCCCCTTGCCCCTCTGACAAGCGTGTCTGTTTGGGCCTTGCTCAGGGCCATGCTACAGGTTGGGGCAGCCAGCCCCTGTCACTTGGTCCCTGACTGTCTCCATCACCTCCCTAGGCCCATCCTGGGCTTCAGGCACACTGAGCCATCTGCCGTTCCCTGGGCGGGTCATCCTCTCTCATAATTGCTCTGAGCCTTTGCATATGCTGGTCTCTCTAACTGTAAACGCTTGTTTTGCCTGGATAGTTCCTACAAATCCTTTAAGGCTCAGCTTAAGTGTTACTTCCCTCAGGAAGCCTTCCCTGATAACTCTCAATGCCTTCCTCCCCCGCCCCACCAGGCTGGGTCAGGGTCTCTCTGGGTTCCCACAGCCCCTGGACATTCCTCTGTCACTGGACATTCCTCTGTCACACGTTGTCACTGACTGTGTATGTCTCTCTCTCAACAGACGATGAGCACCCCTGAGCAGGGATTGTTTATCATTGTTCACATGACTTTACTGATACCCTACTCTGTGCCAGGCCCAGGCTAGGAACTGGGGAAACAGGCACAAGTTACCTGCATTGAGGAGCTTTCATTCTAGGGCGGTGACACACTTGTATAAAAGTAACTGATATAAGCAGCTTATGAATCGCCTATGAGGGTAAGCAACGAGCAGTGAGGAAGCAGAGGAGGGAAAGATCGTCTCCAGGAAGCAGGGGAGGCTGCAGGGAGAAAGGGTTCCTGAACTAGGCTGGCTGGGTTGCTAGGACAATAAGCGACAGCTGTGGATAGTGCCACATCTGACAGTGATTCCCATATATTATAGTTTCTCTTCTAATGCTCACAAGAAGCCTGTCAAGCAGATACTATTGTTATTTCAGTTTCATAGCTGAGGAAAATGAGGTTTGGAGAGATTTGGTGACTTGTACAAAGTCATGGAGACAGTGAGAGACACAGCCAGGACTGGATATAGAGGGCAGGGCCAAGCGTGCGTGGACGATGTGTAGGTAGGTAGAGGCCCTTTCAGAACCTCTCATCTGACAGGGCAGACAGGTAACCTGAAAAGTGTCTCACTTACAAAATACCAGAAATGCTTGTTAAAATATAACAAACATCTTTTTAAACACATACCTGAACTTGCTAGAAAGTAAGGGGGAATCCCCAGGGGCCAAAAAGGAAAGGAAAACAGTTCCAGAATGGTGAGAGATGATGCCCTTTTTCCCTGGGCTGTGGGAGGGTGAGTACGATGGCCAGCCTCAATCACTGAGGGACTTGAGCTGATGGGCACAAGCTGTGAGGCTTAGGGACTGCCCTTAGTAGGGAATTAGCACTACGAGGCCCACATGAGCCAGGACCCAAGAAAAGCTTTACTGTTAGCAAGAGTTGATCTCGAAAAAACATACACATGGTCCTAAATAGAAATCAAGGAAACTTTTCTGACTTGGTCTGGGCTTTAGACTGGAAAAAAAGAAATTTGCTTTTAGTGGCCTGCTCTCATGTTGGTTTAAGGTGTCAAATTCATACCATCTTTGGGGTTGTGGGACCCCTAAAGCTCAGAAACTAATATTAAAAGTGGTCGTAAACTTGTAATACCCAGGGTTGCCTAGATGAAATGGAAATGAAACTGCTTTCAAGACACAAAGATAATATTCTACTGAAGATGAGTTGTTTTGTTTTTGTTTTTCTTTAAGTGTTAACTTCTTTTTTTTTCTTTTTTCTTTTTTTAAGTTTTTATTGGGGATTTGGGGGAGGGAACAGTGTTGGGGAGTTGGGGAAGGGGACCAGGAAGTTGTTGTTCTTCAATCTTCATTGTGGAGGGTACCAGTCGTCATCTGGCTTCCCGTCGGCAGCTCGTGGCCTCTAAGCTCAAGGTGCTGTGTTCAATCTTAGTTGCGGAAGGGCATAGCCACCATCCCATGTGGGAGTCGAACCAGTAGCCTTGTTAAGAGCACATACTCTATCCACTGAGCCATCTGGGCAGCAGCTCAGCTCAAGGTGCTGAGTTCTGTTTTAGTTGCAGGTGGGTGTAGCCCACCATCGAACAGGCAATCTTGTTACACCAGCTGAGCCATCCTGCCACCTGTTGGCAGCTCAGTGACAGCTTAGCTCGGGCGCAGCGTCACTGACCCATGTGGGAATCGAACTGGTGGCCCTGTTGCTAAGAGCTTGTGCTCTTAAGCCAACTCTTAACCATCTGAGCCACTCGGCCAGCCCTGAAGATGAGTTTTTAATACAAAAATTACAAAACATACAATGGAACAATCTACTGTGAGTGAAAGTTGGTAGATACAACAAATAAAACCTCTGGCATTTACTTGGATCTCCTCAGTTTTTTCAACTTAACATGAAAAAGTGTTTTTTAATAGTCAGTGCTCACCTACAAAAGCAGGGGCTTTTTTGCTAGGTAGTGAGTTCCCTGTCACTGGAGGTGGATGAGTAGAGGAGACAGGACTTCCACTTACTGGACGTGGCTGTTACTGTTTCCTGCTAGATTGTGAGCTTCTGTTGGGCAAGGGACCATGTCATTTTGATCTCTGTACCCCGTAAATGTCAGCGAGTGAATGTGACTGTAGTGTGAAGAGTGCTGTCATGGAGGTGTGAACCAGAGGAGGGAGCAGAGCCCTCTGCTGGGCCCTGAGGGAAACCCATGCTGAGTGAGACCCAGGCTTTGCACACCAGGGGCTGTAGTCTTATCCAGGAGACAAGGTGAGTCTGCCAGCACCTGTACGACTCGGTGCAGGGAGTTAGGCTTTATAACACAGGTATAGATAGTGTGAGGACTCCATTTGAGAAGATTCTGGAAAGCCTTCTGGAGAGAGGATAGTGGTTAAACCTTGAAGGGGATTTGCAGAGGGATAGCATGGTGGTGGGAACATGCAAGTCCAGTTTAACGGTAATGTGTCGGTGGAGCGGAGTGGTGATCAGTAAGATCAGCAGAGCAGAAGGCCTTGAAAACCATAGCAGATCTGGGCTTTTCAAACGCTTCCACCAAAGTACTCGTCAGAGGAGGGGACGTACCCCAAGCAGCCTGATGTAAGCTCAGAGTGCCTCTAAAATCTCATTTTACCTCAGAGACTTAAGGATGTATTATAGTTCACAATTACATTTGTTTTAATATACACACACATTTCTTCCTTGGATATTAGAGAATATAGGTCCAGGAAGGTATGCTACCTTTGTCCTAGGGCTTTGAATACCCCTTGGTACAAGCCAGTTTGTGAGGCAAGACAGCAAATTTCCTGCAGGATTTTGTTTATAAAATTTTTTCACATATATTCTAGGAGTACAGAATATACATATTCTATCTTTCTATATAGGCTCCTTTATAAATTAATTCTGGAAAGTTAAGTAGGCAGTTATGTCAGGTTATGGCCGTTTCTCTGGTAGCGGTGGTCCTTGCTGAGGGAGCCACTGTCAATTCCCAGTAACGTTAGGAGCTTGAGAGCGATTTGGAAGTTCTTGTTTTATTTTCCTAAGAGGACCAAGTTACCTTCTTTAGGAAGATGACGTTTGATGTTTTTTTTTGAGTGTGGATGTTTTTGCATCTTCTGTGTGTGCATATGTGGGGTTCTGTCTGCTTTTTTGTCCCTGTTTGTTCATGTTGTGTGGGGTGGGGATTGGATAGGGGAAAACAGGAACTGAAAAGAATGGTCTAAGAGAGGTGATACTGAGCCAAAGCTTCTCATCTCCCCTCTGGCACCTCCTACATTATTTTATTATCTGTGAGAGTGACTAATCTGATAAATGATTCTGAGAAATGAATGAGCAGAAGGGTTTAAACCACTGCTGGAGCCAGACCTGTGGAGGCCAGAGGATGTGCGCTGCGGAGCCGAGTGCTTTCGGTGCTAAGCTGGTTGGAAGCGCTGGAGCCTTGGACAAATCTACGGACTGTTCAGGGTCTGGAAATAAGAGCAGGGCTAGAGCAAATGTCATGAATGTTGCTTAAATCTACTAAGTAAGTCTAAACATGCTTAGGTGTTTTTCTTTAAAGTATGTCATCATTAGAACCAGTGCTAATATTCTTTTAGGTGCAGCTATTTCATGTGAAAAAGGATAATGAGCGGGAAAGCTTGTAGTCCCGAGCCCGTGACTGAGGACCCCCGGGATCCTCCCTCCATCCTGACTGTGGGATCCAGTCCTGGGGTGGGGGTGGGGGTGGGGTGACGAATTCAAAAAAGCTGACTCTGCAAACCTAAGTACGAGCATCATTGTGTGCCAGCATCGTGCAAGTATAGTGTGCCAAACTGACATCAGGTAGGTGTGTCCTTATCTGACAAACGAGGAAGCTGAGGCAGGGAGGTTAACTGACTGAGTCAGAGAGGCGCATGGACCACCACAGCCAGACAGCTCGTGAGGATAAGGGTCAGGACTAGGACTGAGCTTTTGACACCACTGGACCTGGCCCAGAGGCCAGTGTTGTCATGGCTTAGAGCAGCGGTTCTCAGCCTGTGGGTCGTGACCCCTTTGGGGGTCGAATGACTCTTTCACAGGGATCGCATAAGACTATCGGAAAACAAAAAGATATTTACATTACGATTCATAACAGTAGCAAAATTACAGTTATAGAGTAGCAACGAAATAATTTTATGGTTGGGGGTCACCACAACATGAGGAACTGTATTAAGGGGTCGCGGCATTAGGAAGGTTGAGAACCGCTGGCTTAGAGTCTGTCATACCCTGGGCTCTTCTAAGAACGTACAGATTCTTCTCTGACTGCCTGTATGTCCCTGGAAAATTCTTTATCTGAGTCTTAGTTTTTTCACCTATCAAATGGGGATTTTACCACCTTCTTAAGGCAGCTGTGACGTGAATGATCATGCAACAGATCCACATGTCAAGATGAGAGCCTAGAATAAGTTTGAAAGCAGGTGGCTGTTCATACACATTTCTAGGACGCTTGTGGGGCAGTGCACTTGGGTGGGTGTGGGGTCGGCTGTCATCCAACAAGTCTTCCCAGAGGTGGTGACATTTTTAGAGCTGACCTTGGTGCCCACTCTTCTCTGACTTGTTCCCTCCTCAGGACCTCCATGTTCCCAATGAGGACCGCATCAAGCAGCTGCTGGGGCAGGATGCCTGGACCTCCCAGAAGAGCGAGTTGGCTGGCTTCTACCCCCGGCTCATGGCCAAGTCGGACACGGGCAAGATTGGCTTAATCAACCTGGGCAACACGTGCTACGTGAACAGTGTCCTTCAGGCTTTGTTCATGGCTTCTGAGTAGGTGCTGCTTTTGACTCCCCCGTGTGCCTCTGCTTCTCACCTTTGGGCTCCCCGGCGTGTGAAGGTGGGGATGTGGGGGTTGGAGAAAGCAAGTCCCGCTTTGCATTGTCGGCATAATTCCCTGAGGACTGCGGGTACATGAAGGACAGGAGAGTGGCCCCAGATGTCTCCAGCCTGCTACCAGGGCAGTAGGTCAAGACGGGATGGTAGCTCGTGATGGGGCTGCCAGGGCTGGGCTGCAGTGGAAGGAGCTGCTCTGGGCTGGTGAACGTCACTGACTTCTAGAGTCCATGGGGTGGATCGTGTCTTTCAGAGAACTCCCCCTCACTCTGGTAGTAATCCCCCCTCCGTCCCCCTCTTTACTAAAACACATAAAATCTTCATTGTCAATGGCTACCTAACTTATGGCTTACTTAAAAATCAGTCAGGGTTTCAGCCACAGAAGTAGACATCTTTTTTCCACTTAAATTGTATGTGTGTGTGTGTGTGTGTGTGTGTGTGTATGTGTGTGTGTGTTGCACATAACAAAATTTACTTACCATCTGAAACATTTTTAAGTGTACAACATTCACATTGTTGTGCAGCCATCACCACCATTCATCCCCTTAACTATTTTTATCTTGTAAATCTGAAATTCTGTACCTATTAAACAATAACGTCCCATATTTCCATGCTCCCCTCCCCCCCAGCCTTTGGCAACCACCATTATACTTTCTGTCGCTGATTTTGGGAGGGTCTCTGGTGCAGGCCAAGTTCAGCTGCTGCCTGTGCTGGGCTTGATACTTTAAAGAGGCTAAGCTGTAAACCAAGGCCAGCTGCAACTAATGCCGGCCTTGGGACTACTTATCGAGAAGTACTTGGCAAGCTGAGGCCAGATGCTGCTTGTTAGGGGCTTGTTAGGACCTTTGAGAGACTTCAGGTTAGTCCGCAGTGTGAGGTGAGACAGGCCATTTGTATGGAAAAGCCGCTGGAAGAGATTCTGGTCAGACGTTCCAGTTGGGGTAAGTAGGTTCTCAGGGAATCACCAGCGTGGGGTGAACAGCGTTAACTAGGAGAGCTAAGATTTGGTGCCTGCCTGCACCTTCTGGCTGGGTGGGCAGAGAGCTCAACAAAGGAACAGTGGCATCTGCTAGCACTTCTGTCCCTGGAATGAGCTGCTCTGACCCCTGCCCCTCCAGCCCTTGTTCTCAGCCAGACAATTCAGTTCCTCCTCATATGTCCCTGGCACTTTTTGAGCTGCTGCCCCAGCACTGGAGCTCAGAGCGAGTGAGTGTCAGTGGGTAAGTCTGTGCATGGGCCCTTTAAGTGGATACCTGAGACTCCAGTTGCTCTCCAGCTCACTCAGCCACAATCTCCACTGGTTATCGCAGCCAGAAATCATGGGGACTTCTCTGGACTTCTCTTCCCAGCACTGGAACCCAGGGCTGGGATCCTGGTGTGGGGCTGGGACCCCTTGTTCCTCAGGGAGGACCTCCCTAGCTGAGATAGTCCACCTGTTTTTAGCCACCATGTGTGGGTGTGGAGCCAGCCTGTTTCACGTCTCTGCTCCTACCAGCCTTGACATGACGTCTTTATATCCTTAGTTGTAGGACTTCTGTTCAACTAGTCTTCAAGTGGTTCTTCAGAGTATGTTTAATTTTGTAAGGAACTGCTGAATTGACTTCCAAAGTGGCCACACCATTTTGCATTCCCAATCGCAATGAATTGGAGTTCCAGTTGCATTAGAATTAGAGTTCCACATCCTCGCTAGCATTTAGTGTTGTCAGTTTTCTAGATTTTGGTCATTTTAATAGGTGTGTAGTGGCATCTTGTTGTTTTAGTTTGCGTTTCCCTGATGACATATGATGGTAGAATATCTTTTCATGTGCATATTTGTCATCCGCATATCTTCTTTGGTTGGGTATCTGTGAAGATGTTTGGCCCATTTTTTAATTGGATTGTTTTCTTATTGTTGAGTTTTAAGAGTTCTTTGTATCTATTTTGGATAACAGTCCTTTATCAGATGTGTCTTTTGCAAGGTTTTTCTCCCAGTCTCTGGCTTGTCTTCTAATTCTCTTGACAGTATCTTTTGCAGAGCAGTTTTTAATTTTAATGAAATCCGCTTATGAATCATATCTTTCATAGATTGTATCTATTGTATCTAAAAAGGCATCACTATACCCAAGGTCATCTAGGTTTTCTCCTATATTTTCTTCTGGGAGTTTTGTTTTATATTTAGCTCTATGATCAATTTTGAGTTTATTTTTGTGATTGGTATGAGTTTTGTGTCTAGATTTTTTTTTTTTTGCATGTGGATGTTCCGTTATTCCAGCACCATTTGTTGATGAGACTATCTTTACTCCATTATATTGCTTTTACTCCTTTTTTTAAAATTGGGGAATTGGGGGAGGGGAAGTGTTGGGGAATTGGGGAGGGGGACCAGCCAAGTTGTTGTTCTTCAATCTTTGTTGTGGAGGGTGCCAGTCGCCATCTGGCTGCCCATTGGCAGTTGTGGCCTCTCAGCTCAAGGTGCTGTGTTATAATCTTAGTTGTGGGTGGGTGTAGCCACCATTCCATGTGGGAGTCGAACCGGCAGCCTTGTTGTTTAGAGCAAATGCTCTATCCACTGAGCCATCCAGGTGGCAGCTCATCTCAAGATGCCAAGTTCAGTCTTAGTTGTGGGCAGGCATAGCCCACCATCGAACAGGCAGTCTTGTTGTTAGGAGCACGTGCTCTCACCAGCTGAGCCATCCTGCCACTTGTTGGCAGCTCAGGGGCAGCTCAGCTTGGGCGCAGCATCACTGGCCCATGTGGGAATGAAACCGGCGGCCCTGTTGCTGAGAGCTCGTGCTCTGAAGCCAACTCTTAACCAACTGAGTCACTCGGCTGGCCGCTTGCCTTTAACTCCTTCTTTGTCAGTGATCAGTTGACTATACTATTTTTGGGCTATTTTGTTCTATTGATTTATTCAATTATTCTTTCATCAGTACCACACTTAGAAATCTTTAATAAAAGTCACGGTGAAAGTAAGCTTTGCATCTGGCTTACATGGTATGACCTCAAGTCGCTTTCTTCTCTGAGCTTTCAGTCCAGTAGAAGGAGGTTGGAGCTGATTTCTAGGACTTGCTAATGTGTCGCTGCTGTGTTTCTCACACTGCCTGCTGAAGAACTAGCTTTAGTTTTTCTGATTTCCAGTCTGCTGCAGACTGTTACTTTTGCAAAATATAATAAAACGACTTAGCAGAAAAATGATCCAATGCTTGTCTGGTCATAGCAATGTCAAATATCCATACAAGTTTCTAAATGCTCAGTCTCTGAACTTACTTCACCACAGTCTGCTAAGTAGAGTACACTGGAAGCGTTGTTCTCCACGGTGGGCTTAGGTGGGAGAGATGCCTTACCTGTCCTCCCAGAGCTTCTTGTGAGAACAGGAGCTAAGCTGGGCCCGGGAATCTTCCTGTTCCAGGGAATGTGGGTGTCAGGAGAAGCTCCTTTCCATCTCCCATAGGATCAGTTGTTCACCTATCACTGGGAGCTAGTATATCCCTGTAGCGTCTTCTTTGAGCAGAGTCCTCACATTGACCCCTGCCTCCCTCATTTGAAGGCAGGGGAACAACTTGGGGTGGACCTAGGGGCAGTGGTAGGGGCCTTGAGAAGGGGCTGTGACTTGGACAAGGCCTGCTGCTCTGAATGGGTCTGAACACCATTTCCGGGGCGGGGGAAAGCAGGGCAAAGGGTGTGAGTGGCCGGTAATGATACAGGCATGGACTCTGGAGGATGCCAGAGCGTTCCAGCCTTAGAGACTTGGGACCAAAGGACCTAGGACACTCGACTGTTTGAATCTTGGATGGGCTGTCAGAAGTGGAAGGGACATCAGGGATCACCTCATTGTCCAAACCCAGTTGTTCAGCTGGTCCCTGGCCCAGACTGGAGCTACAAGTGTCTGTTCTGCCTTTAGCCTAGAGGCTCCCTGGCTGCCCTTAGCTTACCCTGGGGTTCCTGCTTTATTTTGAAGCTTCAGACACTGTGTGCTCCGTTTGACGGAGAACAACTCGCAGCCCTTGATGACCAAGCTGCAGTGGCTGTTCGCCTTCCTGGAGCACAGCCAGGTGAGTGCAGAGGGGCGTTGGGCGTGGTGGGGAGGAGGTTCTGGTTGACACCCTAGTTCTGGTTGACATCCACAACCAGCATGCATCTAGCGGTAACCCTAGTCCAGGCTGGCCTGGATTCATGGCCAAAGCCCATGGGGCTGATTGAATGCCCTTACCCGGCAGGAGAGGGGGTGCCTCCTTAAGCCCTCTTCTGTGCTGTCCATCAGCACATGCTCCCATCAGCAGTTCAGTCCATAGCATTAGGTGTTGCTTTGTCTATCTGCTGTCATTTTTGAGCAGTCACATTGCCAGGTACCCTGAGGGCTGTTTTGTTCTGTCCACTGTCTCTCCCCTCATGGAACCTAAATGCCACGGTCGGGCATTATGCAAGGCCCCGTGTGAGGGCATGGGATGGGTAAGCAACAGTTCCTGCCCTGTGGAGCTCAGCCTGCTGTGGAAGGTGAACCTGCAGATAACAACTACAGTACTTGAGCAGAGGGAAATGCAGTGTGTTGTGCCCATGCAAGAGGGGGACAGCTGGATTATGATGGGGAGGGCCTCTGGGAAGACATCACGGAACAGGTGACATAGAAAAGGTGCATCTGGGACTTGAACTCTATAGCTAAGCTTCTGATAGGGAAGAAGGGTGTGTGAGGCCGAGGGAATGGCAGTGAGCAAGGGCCTGGGGAGAAATTATAAGGTGCGTCAGGGAAGAACACATGCCTAGAGGATTGTTCATCTCTGTGAGCCCTGCTCATAGGCTGTGTGGGCTTAGTGACATGGGTAGGGTCAAGGACAGCTGGGAGTGGGTAGGACTTCAGTGAGGAGGCTGGGAAGTTTGGTGCAGAGTTTTCAGGTAGACCCTCAGGCCTAGATGCTGCAGAGCTGGGTAGTGAGTGGCTGGCCTCCTGCTCCTGACCCTGCCTTTCACCTTCCTTGGTTCTAGCGGCCTGCCATTTCTCCAGAGAACTTCCTCTCTGCATCCTGGACACCCTGGTTCAGCCCCGGCACCCAGCAGGACTGCTCAGAGTACCTGAAATACCTGCTGGATCGGTAAGGGAGGCCATGCCGGGGGGAAAGCCCCACCTCTGCAGGCTCTTTGGCCTCTTCCTTGAAATGAGGGTGCTGCACTGCAGTTGTAGAAAGCTCGGAGAAGACGTGTGCCATGAGTGTGGGGGCGGGGCTGTGAGGGAAGTTTGGGAGGTGCTGACCTGAACCATGACCTGGGGGGGGGGGGTGTGTACATACTGCGCTGTGCTTGCCTGAGTGTGCGTGTGTGTGTGTGTGTGTGTGTTTTCGTCACAGTTCTGGGGGCATCTGCACGGAGATATGTATGTATCAGGTTTGTGTCCCTGTATGCAGTAAGTATGTAGCATGTGCACGGATGCCATTTTGCACATGTATGTGTATTGCCTGTGACTACTCCTGCGTGTGTGTCTAAATGTGTGGCTAGCTGAGTAGGGCAGGTGGCGTGAATCAGGCCTGTGCACTAGAATTGGATCCCTGTGTCTGTACTAAGACCCCGTGCTTCCCGCTGCAGGCTGCACGAAGAGGAGAAAACAGGGGCAAGGATCTGCCAGAAGCTCAAGCAGTCCAGCTCGCCATCGCCACCGGAGGAGCTCCCTGGCCCAAGTTCAACCTCTGTGGAGAAGATGTTCGGAGGCAAGATTGTGACTCGGATATGCTGCCTGCGTTGCCTCAATGTCTCCTCCAGGGAGGAGGCCTTCACGGACCTCTGTCTTGCCTTCCCCCCACCTGAGCGCAGTCGCCGCCGCCGCCTGGGTTCGGTGATGCTCCCTGCGGAGGGCGTGGGGGCCCGGGATCCCCCACCATCATCCCGGGCCCAGGGCCCAAGCAGGGTGGGTCTTCGGAGGCAGAGGAAACACTGCATCACAGGGGACGCCCCCCACCCTGTCCTGGACATTGAAGGCCTGAGCCCCCAGGGACCTGGGGAGCAGAGCAGCCGTGAGGAGAAGGTGGAGAGAGACGAGGAAGCAAATGAAGAGAGAGCAGAGGAGGAGGAAGTGCCAGAGGAGCAGACGAAGGAAGAAAGGACCAGGGAGAAGGAAGAGAAGGAGAAAGAGGTGGAGGAGGAGAAGGCAGAGAAGGAGGCTGAGAAAGAGGCTGAGGAGGAGGAGGACAGCCCGGGCCCAGGGACCCACAGGGCCACCGTGCCCTCTGCGGAGGGCTCCCGCTCCGTCCTGGACCTGGTCAATTACTTCCTGTCCCCCGAGAGGCTGACCGCAGAGAACCGCTACTACTGCGAGTCGTGCGCCTCGCTGCAGGAGGCGGAGAAGGTGGTGGAGCTGAGCCAGGGCCCGCGCTACCTCATCCTGACCCTGCTGCGCTTTTCCTTCGACCTGCGCACCATGCGGCGCCGCAAGATCCTGGATGACGTCACCCTCCCCCTGCTGCTCCGCCTGCCGCTGGCTGGAGGCCGGGGCCAGGCCTACGATCTCTGCAGCGTCGTGGTGCACTCCGGGGTGTCCTCAGAGAGCGGCCACTACTACTGCTACGCCCGCGAGGGCGCCGCCCGCCCGGGCGCTTCCCTGGGAACTGCCGACAGGCCGGAGCCCGAGCACCAGTGGTACTTGTTTAACGACACTCGGGTGTCCTTCTCCTCCTTCGAGTCTGTCAGCAACGTCACCTCCTTCTTCCCCAAGGACACGGCCTACGTGCTCTTCTACCGGCAGCGGCCAGGGGAGGGGGCCGAGGCTGAGCCAGGCTCCCCCCGAGTGCGGACAGAGCCCACCCTCCACAAAGACTTGATGGAAGCTATTTCCAAAGACAACACCCTCTTCCTGCAGGTGAGCAGGCCCCTCGGTGCCTCTGACCCCAGCTCCTGGGTGGAGGGGCTTCCCCGCACCACCCCTGGCTCAGAGACGTTGCTCCTTCGAGTCTTTTCCTTCTTTTCTTTTGTCCTTTTTGTCTATCACTTAATGCTGGGCCATCTTAGTGGGCTAGATAGATATAACTCCTTGCTTCAGAGGAACAGACATTGAGTAATTGTGTTATTTATCCAGTTTTCCTAAATGTGCTGAGGGAGCAGCATGGGGTCTGAGTCAAGAATCAAGTGTGAGCCGGGAGACCGCCCTAGCCATGACCCTCCTCTGTCACAGTGACTTTGATTCTAGTATCAAGGGTAGTGTCAAAATACTTAGCAACTGGAACAGCAAGGGCTCTGACCAGTGGGAGGGGGGTAGTCACGCCAGGGCCTGGGGACAGCAGTGCCTGGAGTCCGAGTCTATGTGGGGAAGGTGGCCCCTGGGGTGGGGTTACCGGGCCTGTCTTTCCGTTTCTGCCAGGCTGTCCAGGCGGGGGTGGGGCCAGAGCTAAGGAGTGGCCTCAGTCCAGCAGGAGGAAGCCCCTTCTCACAGGCGAGTGTGTTCCTAGCGCCTTGAGAGGCGGCAAGCTGGATGGCCGTGCCAGGAATTCTGTGGCGAGGTCCTTGTGTGGTGTGAAGTGACCCTTGAATTTCTTGGACCTCCTGCTTCCTGGTGCCACATCAGGCCCTTATCGGCTATTGCAGCCTAGTATGAATGAGTTCCTTTCCTCCAAGGGGCTGGGTTTTGTTTTGTTTTTTTTTTAAAGATTTTTTTTATTGGGGAATTGGGGAATGGGACCAGTGCTGGGGAATTGGGGGAAGGGGAACAGAGAAGTTGCTGTCGTTTTGTTCTTCAATCTAGTTGTGGAGGACGTTGCTTCACTGGCCCAAGTTGGCACCATCATTGCGCTCTTCCTGAGCGAGGCAGATCAGTCGCCGGCTTCTGGACGGCCGCTCACTGCGGCTGCTGCCCGCTCACGGCGGCTGCTGGCTACACACGGTAGCCCATGGCAACCCACTGCCACAGGGACTGCAGCCTACGCCGTCGCCGGCGACTCATGGCAGCCCAGCTCCAGGTTGAGCTGTTGTTCAGCATCTTAGCTGTAGAGGGCAGTGTCACTGGCCCTCATATGTGGGATCCGAACCGGGGCCCTCTGGCATCCCAAGCCAGTTCTTAACCATCGCGCCACTCGGCCGGCCCGGGGCTGGGTTTTTATTGGGAGGACGAGGAATGATTTTGGAGTCTAGATTTAGGATGGAAGGATGGGTCCATCCTGCCTCTCCTCCCGCTCAGCTGGAACGCCTCTAGGTTAGAGGCTGTGGCTCCTCTGTGCCTGGCCCTGGTGGGACGCAAGGAGACATTCAGGTGCTGTGCTGAGCTGGATGGCATTGGGGGAGGGAGTGAAGGGAGGAGTCGCGCTTCAGAGCGAGTTTTAAGCTTCCTTTCCCACCTGCATCTGTGTTCCCAGGAGCAGGAGAAGGAGGCACGGAGCAGGGCGGCCTACATCTCTGCACTCCCCGCATCTCCACATTGGGGGAGGGGCTTTGACGAAGACAAGGATGAAGATGAAGGCTCTCCCGGGGGCTGCAACCCTGCAGGTGGCAATGGCGGTGACTTCCACAGATTGGTCTTCTAATGGGAACCCATCCCTGGCCTGCTTCTACTTGTGGGGGAGGTGTCACAGCCAGCCTCAGGGGAGGCCTTGACCCCTTTCTTCTGGAAGCTGGGTGGGGGCCCAGGTCCTGGGAGAGGCACGCTCTGCCAGCTGGGGTCTGAGGGAGGCAGGTCCAGTCCTGAAGGTAGGCCCTTCCACGGGTGAGAAAGAAAGGTGGAGAGGGAGCTTCTGGGACAGCAGTCCTCAGCCTGAGGGCTACACGGAGCCTCAGCTATGGAGGTGAGATCCAGCCCCTTACACTGGGCCTCAGGTCCTGGCACTGGGATCAGCCCCAATAGGATTTTACACCCAAGTGTCCTGGTCAACTTGAAGCAGCTTAGATGCACACTAGCCTTGTCCCCCCGCACCCTACCGACAGGGCTGAACCTCACAGCTCTAGTGTTTGGCCATCAAGTAGCATTTCCCTTCCAGCTCCTTTTAGACAACCCTATTACTCTATAGTATAAACAGCAGAGCAGGATCCAAGTCCTTGCACAAAGAAGGGGGCTCAGCTCTGGCTACCTTCCTGTTTCTCTGGGGGGGTTTCAGAGGTGCCCGCACCATCTGTACCTGCACCCACACCAAGCAACAATGCATAGAGGTGAGGACGTCCCCCCTCTAGTGGGAGACCCTGAACCCCCTCTCCCTTAGCCTGCCTCAGTGCCTGAGATGCCGCCGTTTGCATCCCCCGTCTGGTTAAGATGGAGAATCCGTCCTTTACTGAAAATATGTCTTTCTCATGAAGCCATGGTCCTGAGGAACGCTGGCTGGCTCGGCTCCTCATCAGCTGGCCACTAGAGCAGCAGCCTGGGGGCTGGTGGGGATGGTCTGGTGAGGCGCAGATACTGACCTCATGTGCCCTGACACTGCTGTACCCCTTCCAATGGAGAGAAGAGACCCAGGGTCTCAAACAGGAATAAAATAGTTCTCTGAAGCCTTTAAAGATGTCATTCTTCCCACCTTAGGGTTGTACTGTCCCCCATACCCCTGGTTTCTTGGTGTCTAGGCAATAAGGAGGGCGCACCCCTGCTCAACTGACTTGTGCAACACACAGGACGTGAAGCGCCCCACACTGAAGTGCTCTGTACATTAAAGGTGAAGACCCAGAGGGCAGAGCCAGGACCCGAGGTGGGGACATTCCCCATAGGTAGGTGCTGACAGAAGGAAACATGCTCTCATCATCCCGAGAATCAGGAGCCCTTTGCCTCTGGAGGGGTGGGTGGGTCCACAGGCTGCGGGCTGCCCAGTGGGATGTTGTCAGGGGACTCACCTAGCAGGTGGGGCTGGAGCCCAGCATCTGGGGCTTGTTTCAGACTCTTGACTGAGACCCCGTTCCTCCTTCCTGCTCGCTGAGAACCTAGGGGCGGGTGGCCTCTCCTGGCTGGACCTGGTCAGAGGCCCGGAGGAAAGCTGGGCCTCCCTGCTGGTGCCATTCCCCTCTCGGAGCTGGAGAGGCACGCAGGGGCCCCTTTCTGCCCGTCCACTCTGGGAGAACAGAGGAGGCGGACAGGCAGGGATCGAGGCGGTGGTGTGGCCAGGGCTTGGCTTCAAGGGCTGCCTGCCTGTGCTACAGGTGGAGTTGAATTCTGGTCCAAATGGCATAGACCCTTAAATGTCAGACCTTAGGGAACAGCAAAAGTGGGCCGACAGTCTGTCAGAGACCAAGTCACACTCAGAATTCACAGTCCCAGTCCAGGGTGCCTTCTAAGAAAGATGAATTGGCAGATGTTACTACAATGACGGTTGTACACATCAGGAATACAGATTCTGAGGTAAGGAGGGTTCATTCTTGTTTCCAGCCAAGAAAAATACCGGATTATTGACTGAGTTATTTCCTATTAAAATGAAAGTGGAGCAGACTGGCCCAGAGCCTTCCTGGGACCACGAGAGAAACCATTTTCTCATTAAGAGCATGTTGAAGCAGACACGGCAGCCCCCTGGCTGGCACACACCATCCCCCAGCCCCTCAGACGAGGCAGACTTGGCAGCCCGCTCTGGTTGCTTCTAATGGACTTTATTGTCGTCCTGTTCCAACACCACAGTAAAATGGGACCTGCAGGCGGCAGGCCTGTACCATGTGTCACCACAGCAAAAACAGGACCCACACGAACACATGCCCGCCCTCCCCCCAGACCTACTCACAGGATAAATACGTGTTACAAATTTTTTTTTAAAAAGAAAACAGAATAAATTAATAACTTAAGTGATTAGGCACCAACAGTGATTTGAAAAATTAAATGTCAATTTTAAATGGTAACAGGGCAAGAACCTAAGACTGGGCATCTAGCCCATTTTTTTTTTCTTCCCAACAAAAAGCAACAATTCCGTGTGAAATGATTCTAAATTTCAAGACATATGTAACCAACAAACACACAGGAACACATATCACCACATATCACATGACAGCCTGAATTTCCGGTGGGATCCCCCTCAGCAGGTAGTCTACCTGGCCCCAGGCCTCAAAGAGCTTGGGGAGTCCCAGAATTATGGCCCCATAAGAGGGGCTTTAGAGCCCATGTGGCCAGCCTCACTCCCCCCCCCACCCCTCCGCCACATTTTGCAGACAAAGGCCCAGAGAAGGGAAGGGCGAGTTCATCTCCCTCCTGTTCTGCACGCGGCTCTCAGAGCTCTGTCAAGGGTGTGGGTGTGGAGAGGGTGGTCAGGCGCGGCCTGGGGCTGAGGCCTTAGCCCTGTGGCAGGGAAAGGGGCCAAAGGGCAGACTGAGTTGAGCCCATGCTCCAATCACTTCCAAATGGTTGTGCTTCTGTCCTAGGAATGGGGCATACTTGAATGGTTTCGAATGTAGAAGCTACCAAAATCAATCTAGGGAGGGGGCTGTGTTCACTGGCTAATGCTCTGGTGCTGCCCTTCCCTGGTGGTCCACACCCTTGAGAGAGAAGTCACAAAACAGCTGAGTATCAGCCACATCAGAGACCACCCACCTAATCCAACCACCCATTTCACAGACGGGCAAACCAAGGTCCGAAGGAGACACAGCTCCCGTAGCAGGCTCCCCCTCTCTTCTCACTGTCCCCGCTCCACTTCCGCTAACCTTGCAGAGATGGAGCTGGAAGCGGGGGAGGATGGCTCCTTCTGTAGGGAGCCCCAGGCAGGATGAATCCTGGGAGCTAAGCTGGCCGAGAAAGCATCCCCATTCTTGCCAGGCCACCAAGGAAGGTGGACTTTGAGCCACTGATAGGCCAAAGGACCAGTTTCTCCAACAGAGCTGACAGGTATGTACGAAATACCTGGCAGTTTGGCGCTTGTGAGTTCCTCTTGTACCGCTTTCCATCTCTACCCCTGCCTCCGCCCTAAGAGTTTGGGAGTTACAGGAACCAAGAACTGGAGGGAGGTCTCCTTGCAGATTAGATCTGAACACTTCAGACTCTGAAGACGCCAGCTGGTTTCATTCACATCATGGCACATTCAGAAAATGCTTACATTATTAGGGCACCGAGGGGGTCAACCGGGGAGGCTGCTGGAGCTGGGAACTGAGGGCATCAATACCTGAGACCACCTGGAGCCATTAAAAGCTCTGCCATAGGAGACCCGTCGTAGAGGGTCTTAAAGAGACACAGTCAGGGCTGGGCGGAGTGAACCAGCAAGCCCTGCCCACTGCAGGCCGCTGCCCCCATTACCATCTCACCTGGGACACTGGCATGCACTGCCAAACGTCTTTGTTTCCAAAGCACAACGCTTTCCAAGTCTGCCCTCCTCTCTTCCACTGGACCCAGCGCTGCCCTCTTTCCCTGTGAAAATCTGACCCACATTCTTCCAAGGCGCCCCCACCTTCTCAGGCACCTCCTTTTCTTAGAATCCACCTTCTCTGAACCCCACTCCCTTCACCCTCCACTCCTGCTCCCGGCACCAACCTCCCACAGAACTAGTCTTGCATCCTCTGCCTATTGTTCCAGTCACTTCAGCATGGTTGTCTGTCTGTCCCGGGAATGGGACATCGACATTTTAAGTCTCTCATGGCCATTACCAATATCTTGTGTCCTTGTCTTTTTTTCCTCACTGACTGTGGCCTTCTCAAGTTCAGGGACAAAGTCTGATTAATTCCTTTGTCCTCAGTGTCTAGCCCAGAGCCTGGTCACAGCAGCCATTAATAAATATTGGCTGAGTTGATTAGAACTAAAACTAAGAGGAAGCGGGTACTGTTGAGAAAATAATTTCTCCCAGGATGGGATTTCTTCAAGAATGGTCGGGGGTGTGTACATACACTCAAAGAAGCTAAAATTGAGCGGTAGCCACCTCCATTAAACATAGTGGGATATTTTTGGGGGGGATGGGGGGTGGGGAAGAAGGTCTAACTCATCCCAGGGTAGGATGACACATCTGGTCTGCCCAGTTGCCTCTGAAACTCTAGAAAATTTGGCCAAGAGCTTTCCACATAAAAGATTGAGATCCCCTCCCGCAGGCTCAGGAGAAAGCCTGGGGTGAAGGCCTTACCTGTTGTCCCCGGCAGGGAGGGGAGGAGGGGCCTGGCCTCTCCTGTTTCTGTAGCCAGGTTTGAGTCCAACAGGGCACTTGGGATGCGAGGGAGCAACAGAAGCTGATCTGAGCTGAAAACACACTCTGAGCCTGGCACTAGGCCACACTGGACCTGCCCCGGGACCTGGCACAAAGCCTTGCTACACCGCACACGCTGCCGGCAACTCCCACCTGTCACCTCCATGCTCCGCTCCGCCCTGCCCTCTCCCTTGCACGGCTTCACCTGTCATCCATCAGTCCTGGCGCCTGCCCTCGTGTCATGCCACCATGCACACTGCTCTCCTGAGACGACACAGCACTCCTTCACTTTCTGCCCCACGCTGCATCCCCATGGGACTGCCTTGGGTACGCCACCAGGCCCTTTGGGTGTACCTCCCCACATGCTCTCCTGTCCCCCCCATGGCCTTCACCCCCGCCTCTCTCTCATCCCATCAGTACCTGTGCCTTCCCTGCTGCACTGCCCATCCTGCAGAAACTGGCTGCACCATCCCCCTCTAGTGGCCTGTGCACGGCCCTGTGCCTCTGCTCAGCCCATTCCTGTCCCAACGTCGCCCCTCAGTCCTGGCATCAACTCCAGTGCCCCCCATGCGCCCACATCCCACACTGCGCAGCGCTTGCCCACAGCTCCACCAGCCTCCCTCACCGTGCCGGCACTCGCACACACCATGCTGCTCCGCCCCACACAGTTCCAGCCTTCTGGGCATGGCGCCCTCAGGCGGCGGGGACTTGGGGAAGTTAGGCAATCTCTGTCCTAGAGTGGAAGAGTGGGCTGGTGGCTCCAGAGTCCAGCAACCCGACCCTGTGGGGTCCTTGTCTCCCCATGTCCTGGGCTCTGAGCCCTGCTCCTTGTTCTTGGTTGTCCATCAGCCGCAGCTCTCCCTTTTGTCCTCAGCCTCCTGCCTCTCCCACCCCGCAACAGCTGCCCTGCCACTTGGCTAAAGTGGGGGACCACTGCAGGTATCAACGACCCTTCTATATCTGGGGATCTAATTCCTTAGTCCCTCAAGACCACCGCTAACCTTCCTTCTCGACTCTTCCACCTTTTGGTGGCCTTGCCTCTCCTCTGCCGAGACAGACAGGCATGAAGTCCATGTTCACTTTGGTCTGCTGATCTCTGACTCCCTGGTCAGTGAGACGACGGGCTTCTTCCAGGACGGATGGAGGCAGCCCAGGGGCTGGAGGGAACGGGGCTGAGGGCGGGGACGGAATGTGAGCTGTGGAATCCAGCTCAGAGTCCCAGCCCCTCCGCCCACACGTCTGGTAGATACTCAGGTCTAAAGAGCAGGAAGAGGCTGAAGGATGCTTTTTGGCAATAGCTCTAACTAAGGTAGGAAGAGGCATGGCCATTATTGATAAAAATCAAAGGTGGGGCCCGAGTGGGCAGAGGAGGTGCCTCGATCAGGCCCTCACCTCCCAGGGGGAGGGTTCAGGGTCCCTGATGTCAAGTGCTTTGAAGGCCAGAGTGGCAGAGTGGAGAGAGGTGGGCTGGAGGGGGCAATGGGAGAGGAGAAAGGGGAGACAGGGAGGAGACAGCTTTGGTGCCTCCAGGCCCCTCTCTAGGCTTGGTGGCCCCTGGTCACAGCTTGGCGCCCTTGGAAGGCTCCGAGGACTGCCGCACATCTGTCCACTCCTGCATGGTGCTCTGCAGGGCCTGGGTCTTCTCCTTGTCCACTTGAACGTAGTCCACCTTCTCGTCAGAAGTGACGGATGACGTGGATGGCTGAGGAACAGAGCAGGGAAGTAGATGTGGCTGTGAGTTATGAGTTGGGGGGCAGGTAGGCGGGCTCTTCCTGAGCTGTCTCAAGGGGAGAGGAGGTGGGCCTCTGCCTGCCACTCCCACTGGCCTTTGGAGCCTGTCTGCTTTTTCCGAAGGTGGGCTGTAGAGCCTGAACTGCAAATTGCATCCTCCTTCCTCTGTGATACAACAGCCCCTGCCAGCCCTCCTGACTTCCCAGCTCCTAGGAGGACCCGGGCCCTTCCTTGGCCAGGTGAATGGTCCAGGCCTCCATTTCTGCCTTAGGACACTGCTCTGTGGCCACTCATCCAGGGGAAGGAGTTTGCTGGTTGCCAAGAAGCACCAGCCATAGGCCTTTGTGGATATCCAAAGTGAGCACGCGCGTCTGCCCAGTGAGGGGAACCTGGATGGAGGCGGCATGCCCGCCCTGTTTCTGGACTGGGCCGCTAAGCATACTTCCTAGGAGGGCCTTCCTAGGCCTGCAGTCCCTTCAGAAGGCCCCTACATCAGCAGCAGGGCTCTGGGACCCACCCAGACAGTGAGTTCTCCTCAAAGAAGAGTTCGGGACCAGGACACAGGAGTCCTGAGTCTCGGCTCTGTCACTGATCCGCTCTGTAACTGAGCATACGTGTCTCTCAGTGTGCATTTATTTGCCCATCTGAACAAGGGAAATGGACTGGCCGATGAGGTCCCATGGACCTAGGGTGCCTGTGTGCTAAGAGAGCGGGGACAGGAGCCATATAAGACCCAGACTAAGGCACGGCCGAGTCGCAAGAGGCTGAGTGCTGCTGTTCAGGGTTGAAGGCGCCCTCCACGAGAGCCCTGGAAGCTCTAACTGACACCCCACCCTACTCCACCCCTCCCATCCCAGGCACCTTGCGGTGGGGGCTTGGGGAGCTTGGCTGGAAGTCCAGGGCCAGGTAATCGACGCTGCCAGTGCTCTTCTTAGGGGCTGGACTGTTGGTGCCACTGGGAATGGGAGATGCAGACACTGGGTTTTGCTATCACAGGAGGAAAACACTGTTAGTAAGTTTAGGAAACAGACTAACCCACTGCCCGAAAAACACACCCCTAAGAATAAGAGCTACGAGCTCACTGAAGGCTCCTCGGAGTCCTGTACGGTGCAGGGACGTTTCTTGTTCTCATTTAAACCCTCACAACAATCCTGTGATGTAGGTATTATTACTAGTCTTGTTTATTTATTTTTTTAAAAGATGAAACACTGGTTCAGAGGAGTAAAGTGACTTGTCTATGGTTGCACAGCTGGTGAGCAGGGATGGGAAACACGTCTGTTTTCTGACTCCCTTCCGGTGCTCATCCTGCTGAGCCATGTTCCTCCCTTCCAGGGCCTCAGGCCAAATCCCAGCTAGTCTCCCCGACAGACCCAGCCCTTGCTTGTTGGGCCCTAAGGAAGGAACATATTTCCTTTATGTGCTGGACACTGGAAAGTCTTCTGCTGCACCAAATCTGCTTCTCTGGAACTCCTACCCATGGCCTGGAGCGGGGTTGCCACACCGAGGCCACTGGCCGCCTCCAGCCCCAGCTCCTCAGAGACCCAAACAGAGCGGCCTCATCCCCAGGCTGCACGGAGCCCCAGGTCCTTCAGCAGCTCTTCACGTGACACACCCTCGGATCCTGTCTCCATCCAGGCACCAAGTTTACCTTGTCCAGGATTTTCTTGAAGCCTTATTCTAACGAGAAAGGCAATATAGTCCTATTTTGTTTTTTGGCTGCTTTGCTGGTTAGTTGGTTTGTTCTTTCAATAGGCAGCCACGACCAAGTGCTGGGCAGCTCTTCTCTTTTCAGTGAAAATCTCAGGGAGGAAACTTGCCATGCACTGCCCGTGCTTAGATCTCCCCTATGGCCTTCACTGCAGGGAGTCACATACATGTGTGTTTCCCCACCGATCAGCAGATCTTCAATAAATGTTTACACTCACATGCATGCTCATAGTCATGGGTACAACAGGACAAGAAGTGAAGGGGAAGATCTTTTACTTTTAGAAGATTATTTTAACAGGACAGAAGAAGGAAATTAACTTTGGCAGGCAGCTATGCTCACCACTATACCACCAACGCACACAGGAAATTAACTTTGAAGGGTGCTCTTGTCACCAGGGAGTGTTCTTAGACACCTGTCTCAGACTTGGCCTGCTCATCCTTCTGGGGCTCCCTCCTGCCCACAGGAAAAACCCAGATTTCCAAGAGCATTCAAGGCCCTTCATGATCTGGCTTCAGTCCAACCTCCCCCCGCCGCTTTAGCCACAGTGAATGACCATCGTTCTCCACGTTCCCCGCTCTGCACGGCCATCTCCGCCTCAGGGTCTCCGTTTCCCCAGCCGGTATGATCACCTGTCCTGCAGGTACGCCCCCCCTAAGGTCCTCTCCAGAGGCACTGACCACACCACCTGTGTCATAGTCACAAGAAAGGCAGGCCTTCTCTGCCCCTTAGGACTGCGGCCTCCTTGAGGGCGGGGACCATGTCTTTACTGCCTCTGACAATGACCCCACAGGGCTTGTCACCTATTTGGCTCAAGAAAGATTTGCAGCAGCAAATTAAATCACAAAGTGGGGGCCCCTGGGCTGAGGTGAGTTAGCCAAGCCAGGAAGTGGGGACCTCGGAGATGGATTCTAGGGGACTCAGAGTGGGGGTCACTCCTGTGGACCCCAGGGGGCTCACCATAGGGACGTAGTTCTCCTCGCTGTCTCCCGAGTCCGTGCTGGTGATACTCTGTGTGGAGATGGGGCGGCAGTACTGGGAGGAGCTGGAGTTGAAGGTGTGGCTATTGTGGAGGGAGGACAAAGAACAAACCCTGGGTAAGTCACCAGCTTCCAGCTGGGCCTCCAACCCTCACACGCCCAGACCTCTGCCCTCAGAGCTTCCCTCTCCATTGTTAGATGAAGCGCTGATACAGAGTGGGTACAGTTATCCCCCCTTGCAGGTGAGGAAACCAAGCCCCAAGAGCGCAGCTACTGACAGCGTTATCATCAGGTAGCTTTCCTGACTCAGCCCAGCCACTGGTGCCCTCACCAGCCCTAACGGCCCTGTTCCAAGCTCCTGTTTCCAAAAAGACACTCACATGGCCCTCGACCAAGACTTGGTGACAGGCGACTTGAAGGGGAGCTCGTCAATGACGGTGTTGTTTCTCAGGTCGAGTGGTGTTGGCTTTGCTGGGGCAGGAACAGAAAGCCGAGAGTCAGCCAGTAACAATGACGCCACACACACATGCTCACACAGAGCACGCAGGTACATTTATGAACGCCTTCGTATTCACCCCAGTTTTACAGAGGGAAACCGAGCTCAGCAAGGTTATATACTCTTTGCCCATGTTGACAGGGCTTGAAGTTATGTCTTCAGGTTCCAAATGACATATTCTTGCATTGTGTCTACGGTAATCGTATTTTCAGAATCCAGAATGGGGACACGGGGTTTGACAACGGATTGTCCTCCCCAGATCTGAGACCACGTACAGGAATGAGAGATGATACTGGAATGGGAGAAGGCCGCCATGACTACTCCCTGCTGCTCCTGGACCAGGGCTGCGGGGCCGGAAGTGGAGGAAGGTGGATGTCAGGAGACCCGGGAGGTTTTCAGGTCAAATGCCGAGATCTGAATTCCCTGCTGGCTTGAGCAACGGGGCTTATCTCTGCCCAAGGTTACTCTACTTCTCCCTTTGAGTCCCTGCCACTGACCCAAAGCCGGCAGCATGAGGGAGAGGCAGGCCTGGAGCTTGAACTCCAGCACTTCTTCCTGTCTGGATGCAGGGGACGCAGATCCAAGTTTCCTGAACACCTGCTATGGACGGCGTCAACGTCCTAGAGGCTATCCTCGGAAACAAACCCAGGAGGCAGATATTACTATCCCCATTTCACAGATGAGAAAACTGAGGCTCAGAGAATCAGAATGATTTGCCCAAAGACACACGCAGGAAGTGTGCTGGATAAGGATTCCAACCCCCATCTACCTGGTTTGAATACTCAAGCCTTTCGATTACATCATAATGTATCTTTTAATAGATGACTTTGTCAGCTCTGCCCTACCCAGCCCCAGATCTAACACTAACTCTCTATCCTTGAATAGATTTTATACATTACAAAGCACTTGCAGATGTATTACCTACGTCCCTCAACACCTCTGGGAAGTAAGTATGATAGTTCCCATTTCGCCAACAAAGAAACAAGGCTCAGAGACACAGAATGACTGCTGTACAGTCACAGGTCAGCAGCGGGCAGAGCTGAAACCTGCATCTGTCCTGTCCTGCTTCCTGCACTCCTCTGCCCACCTGGCGACTCCAGCAGCCAGTCCCTGTAGTGCCAGACCACTGGGATGAGTGTGGGGTGCTTGCGTATGGGGGCCCAGAAGCCACCGCTTCCTTGCAGGTAAAGTCCAGGACCCACCTGATCACTAAGGGAATGCGAAGAGTCCCTGGCCTTCGTCGAGAGATGGGCAAGAGTGGACTTACCTTTCCGGTCAGGTTTGAGGTCGCGGTTGACAGGGGGTGGCTGGATCTCACTCGCTCGGCTGGGGCCTCGGTGCACAGGAAGGGCTACAGAAGGGTAGCCGAGCTGGTCAAAGTGATGGGGCCCTGGGCTCATGGGGATGTAGACACTCTGGGAATTATCACCTGCTCGCTCCATGGCCAGCAGGGTGGAGGAACCTGGATTCATGGGCACGTAGTTGTCTTCGGAATTGGTGCTGTCCGATCGGCCTATAAGTGTTTTCCCTGGCTGGGAGGGAGAGTGAAAGAGATACAGCTGTCACTAGCAAGAAGAAACAAGAGGGAGGTGAGAATTTATATACAAGGGAAGAAAAGTCATGACGGAGTGAGCTGTGCTATGAAGCTATAAGGCAGACCCTGGGAAAACCAAATAAGAAAGCAGACTGGGAGACAGGAAGAAATGAAGTCTGTGGGTCCCTTCTAGCTTCCATGATCCCTTGGGACTCACGTATAATTTGTGATACATCTTTAGTATGAAATATCCTTGGTGGCTGGGTCCATGAGGCTTTCTGGGTGCTTAAGGCAGAAGGGAGCACAAACCACGGGCTGCTAGGTTTGGTTCAGGACCCGCCTTCCACCTCAAGTCCAGACTCGCCGCTGGGAGGTCGGCACCTCAGTCTGAGCTGGGCAGGAGGCAGCTAAGGGGCCTTGGCCGGGCAGGTGCGAGCAGGCCGGCTTTCACTGTGACCATCATGCTACAGTCAGACCTGTCCCGGGGTGTGCACTGCAGCCACCCTAACTATGGCCTTCCTCCAGCTCTTGCCCTGTCTGTTCAGATGTACAGCTAAGCTGCTTCTGCTTTGGTTACCTGATTTTCAGTCTTTTTCGTGGGCCTGAAATCAGGCCTAGTCTGCTCAGCTGGGGCCTGACATCTTGCAGAACTGTGGTCAGCCCCGTCTAGAAGCAGCCGGAGAGATCCTGCGCTCAAACCATAATTCTGCCACCGAGCCTGACTCAGCAGCACCCCTGCCTGCAGTCCCCCACCACAGTCCCCTCCTCCAGGTGAGACATCGTGGGTAGGGATGCTTCGATCCACCACCCCACAGCCTGGGCCCTCTGCATTCTAGACCCTTCCTGCTTACCTACTGGGATGGTGAGCCCCATAGTCTAGTATAACTAAGTACACACATTTCTGCCACACTAGGACACCTGTCTCTTTCTAAAAACTCAATCCAGGGTGCTGAACTGAGACAAAACGCTTGGCAGGGTCCTAAGAGGGAGACACTGTCACCTTTTGGGCTGTGCTTTTAGTTCCATGGGCATGACCTTTAACCCACCTGAGCCGGCCTGAGGACGCCTGGCTAAACCCCACTCACCAGGAAAGAACTGACTCCGTCGGTCATGGACTCTGCAGACCGGCCTGCACTCTCTCCAGCACGCTGCGGGTACTCGTAGGACTCACAGGAAGAAGCTAGGACAGAGGAAGGGATGCCCAGATCTCACAGCTGATCTGTGTGCTGACACCCACCCGAACCCTCACCAGTGTTGCTCCGGGTCTTCCCGAAACTCCAGAAGATACTACTCTCAACCCCCAATGATGAGGTATTACTTCTACCATGTCACTCCTCAGTTCAAAATATCCCTCCCAGACTTCAGCTCTAGCTCCAGTGGTAGCGCCGACATTGAGTCTTTCCTTGACCGCTTCTGCCCTAATTTATGCACCTGTCCTTTAATTCCTGTAGCACTGACCACCTGTCCCACTCGCCCCAGCCATCACTCATTCGAGCACTACAGTAATACTGATACTTGACTAATTTATAGATGTTGATTTTATTTCCCAACGAGATGTGAGCTCTTTGAAGGGCAGGGACAGGTTTTTTATGTCTCTATCATCTCAGTTCCAAAGCACAGGGTAATTGGTCAAATAACTGATGGACTAAAAGACGACAATGAATCCTGAGCCAGGAGTCAGGACCCTGGGTCCAAGGCTCGTCTCTGCCACTGACTGACTTTATAACCCTGAATAAGTCTCTTAATCACCAAGGGCTGCGTGTGACATAGAGACAATGAGGCGCTGGCCCCTCAAACTCTCAGGGTCGCTACCTGGCTTAAAGAACACAGCGGCTGTAACAACAGGCTTTGCAGGCTATAACGCAAATGCAAAATGAAAGGAATGAGTATCATTGTACTTTTTCATCAAACGAGATTATAGGCAGAGTTGGAATACTCTAAGTGGAAAACAGTGACAATAGAATTTAGATACTTCACATAGAAATGAAGACTTTAAACAGAGATTCAAGTGTGGCTTAGACAATATTTTGAAGATCTAATTTTGTTTTAACAGTCTACTAGTCCACATAGGTTTGGCAGTTTGGACAAGTCCTATAAACTTATTTTTGCAATCTTTGGTTTCATTTGTAAATGAATAAAATACTATGGTTTGGACTTCTAAACCCACAGTATGTTGTACTGTGGTTAACCAAGAAGGTTCTATCTCCCTTAGTGGAATAGCAACTTCTCTGAAGTAGGGTCTGCTATACTCTTGCCATTGTGGCCATCCAGTGCTGGAGGACCAACTCATAGGGGCCTGTGTAGAAGGCGCCTTAACTATAGCAGTGACCTGAGTGGTCCTAAGTCTCCTTGGCACGGATGACCAAGGCCTAGCCAACGACTGAGAACGCTTGCGCTACCTCCCTCTCCCCCTTGGCCTCAGCTAGGGCTTATACTGACCTCGGTGAAGTCGGCTGTTGTCCATCGCAGGGAGGGTATTACGCCTGGGGATGGTGGCAGAGACTGATCTGCTGTTTTCACCGATTGGAGGTCTCTGTTGAGGGCTCCCCCATCGAGGAGTTTCTGCCTGACTTGGCTTGGGAGGTCGGGGTGGTGGAGCTATGGCTGAGTCTCCAGGAGTGGCCACTGCCATGGCATTGTGGTTCTTGTCCAGCGTGAATGTCCTAGGGATCTGGTAGGCTGAGAGTGGAGTGGTTGGAACATCGATATTGTCCACCAGCAGGTCCCCAAACTCCCGGCACAGGGTGTTGATGGGCGTCTTGAAGGTGTACACGTCCTCATTATCTGTCTCGGAGCCTGTGAGGCTGCCCTTGGTGTGGCCATGGGAGGCCAGGCTTCGGGGGAGGTCGTAGGTGCTGTCTCTGAATTCCGTATTGTGCCGGCTTGGCTTGGGGAGGCTATAGAAGCCATGGACTTGGCCACTGACGCCGTTGACACAGTGTCCATTGCCCTGGGCCAGTTTCTGTACGGCCGTGTCACTCCTCATGAGGAACGAGGCCCTGGTGCCCTGAGAGAAGCTGGCACTCCTAAGAGAGAGAAATGAGGGAAGGGACGGGAGGGTTAGAGGCCAGCACTGCCTACCCAGGGGGGCTAGCGGGTGTGTTCAAAGCCCCGCGCACCTTGTTGGTGTGGAAAAAACACAGGCTGAGGAGGCAGGCAGTCCTGAGGTTTATCTCCGTTTACCAGCTGTGTGACCTTGGGCAAGGCACTTTCTCTTTCTGAGCTTCACTTTATGCACTTGTAATAATGGTGATGATAAACATACTTTGAAGGTTATTCAGAAATTAGACTCTAGTATGCCTAGCATATAGATGTTCAATCAGTGTTAGTTTTTATCCCCTCCCCTCCTCACCCATGGCTCTGGTTAGCAGGAGCTGGTCTTACCCACACTCGCGCCCCCAACAGATATCAACAAGCCAGTTACACTGCCCACTTGTTCACTGTTTTAAGCCAGAATACTGGGGGGTGCCAAAAAAAATGTACACAAGTGGACACTTTGGTCAACGTTGCTCAAGCAGTAGTTCGCTATAATCAGAAGTGTCTGGACGCTGATGGTAGCTACTTTGAGCACCTCTTGTAATTGCAGAAGTCAAGCATGACTTGTATTCATCTTTTGTTATCGGTATATATTGAGTATTACACTTTTAATAGTTTTTTCTTTCTTAAACTGTGTATACATTTTTTTGGGCACCCTCTGCATATATATTTGAATACCGAGGCTGAGAGACAGTAGAAAGAACTATCTTCAGTCTGTGTGAAAAGACAGCAAGCAAGTCATGTTCTCAGCTTTCCCGCTGTAAAGTAAGTCAGCTAACGAATACTGATGTTATAAAGAACGACTCAAATGTTAAGCTATATTTTTATTTTATACTGTGTATTGTGGTTTGTTGAGAAGCACTTAGAGGAAGAGATATCTCTTTCCAGAAGCCTAAATATCTGTAGGAAAAATTATTTTCTTCTTTGGGAACTATATTCAGGATACAAAAAATTTAATTGTTTTTAAAATTTAGGTTTTTGGGAAATAAGGCAAAACCGATCAGTTTAAAGATCTGGGAGTGGAGGAATTTGTGTTGGGTTTCATCACTGCCACTGATATGCTCTGTGAGCGTTCCCAAGTCCTCCTCCCCAAGGTGTGACCCAGTGGGTCTTAATGGCTCTTACGGGTCCATCTGGCTCTGAAGCTCCGTGTCTGCGGTTTTGTAAATGTGGTTTGCAAAGTGGACTCTATGTTCTGTGCTGGTGCCTGGGGAGACTGGAGGGTGAGATTCTAAGCAAGTAGGGGCCCAGGTCTGCTCTTCTCTGTCTTACATGATGATTCTCCATAGGATTTCATTTTTGGGGGGAAAAAGTGAAGAATCACTATTCAAGAACAATCCTTTATAGTAGTGATTCTCGGTCTTTTGGGGCTATAAACTCCTAAGAATCTAATAAAAAGCTCTTGGCACGTCTCACCAGAATGGGCAAATTTTGTATACATACAAATTTGCATGCTGTATCTGAGAGGCGAGGGTGTCATACCCCTCTAGGCCAATCCTAGGAACCCCTTTGCCTTATACAAGCTTTCAGCTCACAGGGAGCTTGTTATTATGGATGCAGCCACCAGATGGCGGTAGAAAATAGGGCCCAGCAGTCTAGAATGAGGAATGGAAACATGCGTCTAGGCTAGGCTCGCTCGTATGTAAACTTGCAACCATTTCAATCCCCAAACCTTCAGCAGCCCCCCTCTCTAGGCCTCTGTGCTCTTTCTCCCTTTCTATTCCATTCCACAGACATAACCAAACCGACAGCCATAGGCCTAGATCACTGAACTTCTAGCCTTTGGAAAATGGAGTGCTTGGAGCAGGGGATGTGGGAGCCAACGGTAGACATAAGGTGGTCACGTGGTTCACATTTGTCTTTGGTGCTTTTCATTTGTTGTCTTTGGAATTTCCAACTCTCTGTTGGATACCTCCATCTGGATTTGTTTCTTGAACAAACATTTACTGATACCCTACTTTCCATGTGGGCTAGGCACATCCATGGTTACAGAGATGCCACCTGCCCTCGGGGGAGGGTCAAGGACACGTCTTCAAAGATGTTGCCTTTGAGTGAGTCTGGCAGATGGCCAGGCAAGAGGCAAGAGAAGGGAAAAGGTGTTCTAGCCGGAGGCACAAAGAAGTAGAACTCAACCTGGCAAGTTCAAGGAGATGCAAGCTGCTCAGGCTGGAGCAAGCGCCTTAGGAGGCGGGGCTGAGAGGTGACCACGGTGGACAGGCCAGGGCTGATGGGGATGGGGCAACCCCTGAGGGACTTTAAGGGGAGGGGGAGGGTGGGAAAGCATTATAGGTATCCGGCAGTAGCCTTCAACATATTCCAGAATGAACCCCTCCCCCTGTCTTAAGAATGGCACCAGTCATGCCAGCTTGAGAGTTACCCACATTATGATTTCTCATTCAGGGACCCCACAAGTCCTGCTGACTCCACCCAATTCAGGTCCTCCTGATTCTTCTGAGAAGAAAAGGTCTAAGAAAAACGTCTCCCTCCCATTTGCCCAGGACCTTTCTGATCCTCTGTACATCCCACTGACATTTACTTTCCTAGCTTCTCAGCTCAAACATTTTCAAAACTGGTCCATTTCCTTCAGGACTAAGCCGTATTTCAATTCCAACTCAGCTTTCCAACCTCTTCTCCTTGGCTCACCTTCCCGCCCTGGGGTCCACTCCAGCCAGTGTTCCCAGTCGGCCCCACAGTTGCGTCTCTGGGCTTTGTGGTGTCGACTGTGGTGCTCTCCTACTTCAATTTGGCAAGCTCCTACTCCTATTTATCCTTCAAACTTAGCTCAGATGGCACACCTTTTAAAGCTGTTTCTTACCATCCTCTACCCCTATGCATAATCAGTCACTCGCTCAACTCTGTTCTTGGAGCAGGAAGCCATTGTTATCTGTGCTATGTACCACTGTCACTTGGCTTCTCCACCAGACTGATTTCTTCAAGGAAAGAAACTGTCTTCTTCATTTCTTCCCCCCAGCACCTGGATTAGTACTTGTTACATAGTAAATAATGAACAAATGTTTGTTGAATGAACAAATGAATGTATAAACAAACAAATGAATAAAGAAAAGTGTTGGTGCCACCACCCTGCTTTCTGAGCTTAGCCTACTAAGCCCTTTGGTTCAGCAGATCGAAACCTCCCCTTTCAGTACCCACTAGCTATGGCCCACCTGCCCGCTGCCCTGGCATCCTCCTCTCTAGCTCACAGAACTACACACTCATCCCTAAATATGTCCCACACGGCCTAAGCTCCAGCCCTGGGCTTCCATTATTCACCTTTCTCTGGAATGCTTCCTTTATGCATCAAAACCTAATACATAATGCACAAGAAGCCGTTTTGCTCCACCAGAGTGTTACGGGACCTCTAATTCTCCTTTTTACTTCAGTCACTCCTTCCTCTTTGCTCCCACAGCACTCTGTGCTTCCATCGTAACACTCACTCTGCCTCGTGTTATAGTTTTCTGGGTCTGCGTTTCCACGTCTACCAGACCCCGTGCTCCCAGAGGGCCGGGGACCGCATCCTGTGCGCTGGCATAGTGCCTGGCACGTGGTAGATAATACCGGTGCATGTGGAGGGGGACTCAGCGTTACTTCAAGAATCAGGCAGAAGGAGCTGAACAAGGGAAACATACTTGCCTGAAGTTCCATACTCGGATGGCAGCAGAGCTGGTGCTAGCACCCAGGTCTCTGGATGCCCTGCTCAAAGCCCACGCTGCTCCAGTGCACTCCCTTTGGGCAAGAATCAAGAGGGGGGCACTCTGTGCACTGGGAAACCCGGTGGCCTTTACTACCTTCATGTAAACCTTTACCGAGGCCTATGTCACCATGATGTGCTGAGTTTCTTTCCTGGGATGGATACCTGAAAGCAGGGGATTTGGAGAGAGCTTCTCTTCTAGGGCTGTGGGCTGACGGAGGCCTCATCACATGAACATGGTGCTGTGCCAGACACATCTCATGTGATGTAGCTTTTAATCTTCCTAACAGTTCTGAAAGACAGGTATAATCCTCACATGCCAGAAGAGGAAGACAGTAAATGGCGGAGTTGGTGTAGGAAGATATATTCGAACGCCAAGTGTGTAGGGGAGCTCCCTGGTGGCAGACAGGGGTTTGGGAGAAAACAGTCCCTCAAGCCAGCAGCCAGTGCCTTTCCTTATTGTCCTGGCTGCCAGCAGCTCCAGAGGCTGTTGGTGGGTGGGACTATCACACCACATCCTGCACGTGCTTTGGTCTTAATATCAACCCCAAACCTCTCCCTTGGCTTTTAGAAACGGTTTCCTAGTTTTGCCAGCCACTTTATTTTGCACTTGTTCTTTTGCACATTTTCATATAATTGTATGCACCACACTACACCACAATTTCACTCTTTTCCACCCTACCGGATAGACTCTGAGTACCTCCATGATGAAGGGGCTGGTTTGATTTTTAATGGGTACGTTCCCATTTCAGGAAACCCTATAAATGCTTGTAGGTAAATTAACCACCATTTGGAGTTCTATAGCTGTCCTTGGCAATCTTAAGAGGTCATGTACACCATTCCCCTGCATCTGACCCATCCCAAATGGATCCTTCCTGGGAAGGAAGTAAACTCAGGAAGTTCTGTCTTACAATCTCTAAGAGGTGAGACGATCTTTGCATCTCAAACCCTTCTGGCTGCAATTTGAGTCTGCCTTCTCTCTGTGGTTATAGAGCAAAGCTGTATAAGTGAAACTAAATGAAACTAAAGGTTGTATATTCTGTGTTTGGTCAATCAAAGTCAGTGGATGAATGAGTCAAAGAAGCCTTAGAAATGATGAATCATGGCTAAGTTCTTCACTGACGTGCTGGAGTTTACTTTTTAACCCCCCCCCCCCCCATCTTTCTGTAGAACGTTGCTGCAGGGTCAATGATGCCTTCCTTGTGGAATCTCAGCACTTGAAATGTTACTTCCCTCAACCCTCACCAGAATTGTGGCTTTCCACAGCATGTGACTAGCCACAATGTGTCACCTGTTACAGGT